AAAATAAACGTGAGTTTCGTCAAGTGTGGAACTACTATCCAACTTACAATCCACACCGGCTAGCCAAGTTAGCAACCACTTACCAATTTATAGCAAATGAACTTTGTCCCAAAGCCTGTTCGCAAACCACTCAAAATAGGTCGAATTAAAGCTTGCTTAGCGCGGACACAAACGAAAGCTTTACAGCTGTAAGAGAGAGCCTGAAAAGAGAGACTCACCTGCAAGCTCTTCAATAATGCGCATACGCTGCGTAAGCTGCGAATCGTAGCCTGCTTTTGGGCGCGTTCGCTCGCTCAGTTGGCCGCGCGACGTCGCCCAGTATGGACAACGCCATGGACGATGCGTTACGCACACAATTGGCCAATTGCCGTTGCTCAGCTTCTGCCAGCAACTGCTGTTCGCGTTGCCATTGTTTTTGTTGCTGCTCTTGTTGTTGCAGTTCTCGTTCTTGTTGTTGTCGTTGTTGTTGTTATTGTGTTTCTTGTTATTAACGCCAGCAGCATCGCGGCCTTTGTTATTGTTAATACGCGTACTTTGCCCAAATTTACTGTTACCTTTTGCTTGTGGCGCCCTGTGATATTGTGAAGCGGAATTTAAAGTAACATAATTAAAAACAAAAAAAACCTAAATAAAATAAAAACTATATACATATATAAAACAAGTGCGCAGTAAAGTGAAAATTTGGGTAATTAAGCTTGAAGTGAGTGAGAAAAAATGCGAAATATTGCAATATATATACATATGTTTCATTTATGAAATAAATGTACTTTGATTTTGGTTTTGTGGCGAAATACATTTTTGTGCGTGCAACTTGTAGCAAAGCGAAAGTCAAAGCAGCTTAAATAAAACGAGCTACTTGCATTTTCCGCAATGTAATTGCTCGTGTGTGGGTGCGTGCGTGTGTGTGTGTGTGTGTGTGTGTGTATGTGTGCGTGTCTCTACTTCCGCCAACATGCTCCAATTTTGTGTTATCTTCTGCCTCTCACTTTTGATTGCTTTGACTTTCGCTGGATTCTTTTTTCCCTCCAACTTTCGCTCTTAAATAGCTGGCGTGTGTGTGTGTGTGTGTGTGTGTGCGTGTGTGTGAATACTATCAAATGTTTTGGCTTTGAGCTACGACTGTCTGACGTGACCGAAACTCATTTGGCTGCCAATTGGACCAACCGTGTTTCACTGTCCAGCCAAAAGCAGGTCACTTGCCTTCGCCCCAATCAACAACCCCGCCCCCCGCCCCCCGCCCATCAGCCTATACATCATTCACCTAACATTGTCTTCGTCTGGCACATACATAAATCAGCCGGATAAGTTTTATAAGTTAATAGCATATTGGAATGCTCTTTAATTGACTATCTACCTTTTTTTTTTTAATTTCTCCATCTTTGTTTAAGAGTGCCCAACTTGACTTTAGAAGAAAATACCTCTATACATGTATATCTTTAGCTTTACAACACTAGATGTTGTTGCAGACTGCTGACTTTTCAAAGTTACGTTCAATATATGTAACAAATTTTTTCTGCATATTTGTCACACTGTGCACAGTGGAATGACCTCGCAGTAGGTTAATGAAAAGTAGCTGTTGTTGTTGCTGCTGCTGCTGCAAAAGTTCTGCAGTTACTTGGGATGCCAAAATGGCTGCCATCTCACTCTCTCTCTCTCTCTCTCTCTCTCAGTCTCTCTCTCTCTGTTTCGCTCACTGCTGCTCTCTTTGTATGCGGGCTTATTAAACGCTTATTTAATTATAATGCATTTATGTCGCTGCATAATTAAAATAAAATGCCGCCGCCTGCAATTTTCGTTACCGAAATGCAATTTTTAGTATTTTTTGTTGACAGTTAAGTGCGAAACGGGGCCATTTGTCGGTAGTCGCCGCGCCCCGCGCCCCGCGCCCCCTTACTATCCCTGGGAGGCTGCGAGCGGGTTGCGGGTGCAGGCCAGAAAGTGCCCATATTGGGGGCTAATGGGCTTTCAGCCAAGAAGAGGAAGCAGAGCAAGAAGAGTAGCGTAATTATGACAAGATGATGTCAGCTGTGAATGTGACCAGCTCAGATGGGATTAACTTTGCTCTTATTTATATATATGTATATACATGTGTATGTATGTGTGAACACAACAGTTAGAGCCCGCGTGTCGGTGTGCATTGCCACGCCCTCGCTGCAGCTGTCATATAACAGACTTTGATCTGTTAAAAAGCTATAGAGTTATGTTAGTGCTGTGGTACTCTCAAATATTCTATATAGACATAGGTCAAAAATTCTCAGCCCCATAACTTGGCCAAAACTCATCCGATTTCCACGAGATTTGGCTCTTTGGTCATGGTTTGGCCCCTAGATCAACTTGGCATCCAAATCTGGTAACACTATTTCTGGTCGAAATTCATGTAAAATTGGTCCCCTTAAAATGTCCTATATATGTATGTAGACATAGGTCGAAAATTCCCACCCCCATAACTCGGTCAAAACTCACCCGATTTTCATTGGGTTCGTAGTCTTGTTCTAGGTTTGGCCTCTAGATCAATTTGGCATCTAAATCTGGCAACATTATCCTTGGTCAAAATTCATGTAAAAATGGTAATATCCTATATACCCATAGGTCTTATGTATGGCAGCTATATGATATAGTAGTCCGATATATATATATGTATATATGAGGATCATAATGTAACTAAATCACCTTGAGTTTGTTGACGTTATCTCGATAAATAAAAAAGTTTTCCATACAAAAACCTACCTATCGACCGATCGTTTCTATGGCAGCTGTATGATATAGTAGTCCGATCCGGATTCGATATATGAACTGCCCGTAACAGAATGACGGACCTATGCAAAGTTTTAAGACGATAGCTTTAAGACTGAGAGACAAGTTCGCATAGAAACAGAAAGGCGGAGGAACGGACATCAAGTCAGCTGCAGATCCTGATCAAGAATATATATACCCCATGGTGTCGGAGATGTCTCCTTCTATACAAAATTATAATACCTTCTACAAGGGTATACAAATATTGGATTGAGTATAATTGATAATTCAAATAACTTAACCCAGAGAGGAGCGGAATTTTCATGAATATGCCGTGAAGATAAAGGATGAAGGCATCTTAGCTCTTAAATTAGCTGTGAAAAGATAGTGCCTAGGAGGAGGAGGCAGAGACGGAGGAGGAGGCAGAGGCAGAGGAGGAGGAGGAGGCAGAGGAGACTGTGGAGGAGTTGACGGAGGAGTAGACAGAGGAGGACTAGGATTAAGAGTCTTGAGAACATTAAGCACACTTTTGGCCACTTTCAATTTGAGGCATAGTTTTGATCCATTGTCAACGTGACGCGTTTGGGCTGGCTGCTGCCCGATGACGGCTGTTTGGTCTTTGAAGTGGAAATGCTGCAGCTTTGGTTACAAATTCAATCAAGAAACTGTCAACTGTCAGCTGACAAACGGTCGCTGGGGGAAGGTGGGGTAGCTTGTCCGGTGAGGCTGTATAGAAATGAAAATAGAAATGAAAATAGAAATAGAAATATAAATAGAAATAGAGACAGACACCTGCCGCACACAGTTATAGGACATGATACGAGCTGGGATGCCGTCTTCTGGCTGGGCTGATGTAAGGCGATGCTAGATGAAAGTGTCGCCCGTCACTCCTTTCCCATTGTTCCCTCTGCGTCTTGGACATTCCCTCTCATCGTTTTCGCATGAAAAGTTTTTGGTTTAATTTTAAGTTTGCGTACGAAAGAGCGCTGAAAAAACTGTGCCAAGTGGTCACAGATTGGAGCTGAGCGCGTGCTCAAGGGTTTTTCCCAACGGGGCGGGGTAGCTACCGATAGACAATAGAAAGGTTTACCCGAATAGTAGCAGGTCGTCCATCGAGGGGAGTGAATTGGGGTAGGTAAGTACCAGAAGGGATGCCTTTCACTGAGAAGTAAACACGTGGCAGGAGGAGGTGATGCCCAGAGAGAGAGGGAAGGTAGTGTCAAAAGGGTTGTCTGAAGGATAAGAAGAGGCAAGAGATATTAAAATGGACTGGTGAAGGACACCACAGCAAGCGGGTGCCCAAGGCGAAGGGGATGGGCTTCCCCTCATGACCAGAAGTAGAGATACTTTTGTCGAGGTAGGGAAGAAAGTATTCCTAAAGAAAAAGGAGGCAATGTTCCGACTGGGAAACTCTTCCTGTCGAGAGGGGGCATACAGCGAATGAAACTAAGTCAAGGAATCGTCCAAATAAGAATGATTCTTAACAAAGTGAAGGAATGGTCCAAATAAGAATGCGTTTTATAAAGACGAGGCAGAGCAAATGGTTTTCCCCTGAGTGACAGCAGCAAGAGTGGGGTAGCCTTACGATAGGTAGGATGGGTGGCATTTAACTGGAGGTAAATCATAAGGAAGGAGGTAGTGCTAAGTAATAGATACAGCGCAGAAAGGAAGGTGGAATAGCCGAAGGATGCTTCCCTAGAGGCAGGTCGGTAGGGTTTACCTCTATGCAAGCAGCAGGGAAGTGGGATGTCCCGACATAGGGAGGAATAGTCAATGTCTTGGAGCTTCCTAGAGAAGCGGAGCGACAAAGGATTTCTCCATGGAGGCAGGTCGGAAGGGTTTACCTCTATGCAAGCAGCAGTCGGATGTCCCGACATAGGGAGGAATAGTCAATGTCTTGGAGCTTCCTAGAGAAGCGGAGCGACAAAGGATTTCTCCATGGCGGCAGGTCGGAAGGGTTTACCTCTATGCAAGCAGCAGGGAAGTCGGATGTCCCGACATAGGGAGGAATAGTCAATGTCTTGGAGCTTCCTAGAGAAGCGGAGCGACAAGGGATTTCTCCATGGAGGCAGGTCGGAAGGGTTTGCCTCTGTGCAAGCTGCAGGGAAGTCGGATGTCCCGACATAGGGAGGAATAGTCAAGGTCTTGGAGCTTCCTAGAGAAGCGGAGCGACAAAGGATTTCTCCATGGTGGCAGATCGAAAGGGTTTACCTCTATGCAAGCAGCAGGGAAGTCGGATGTCCCAATCGGACCCAAGGGCTGAGCGATAAATACGGCTTGTATCTGAAGCCAAGCCGGCAGCTGCTTTGGCGCAACCTTGTCTAATTCCAAGGATATTCCATGCCCGTTCCAGCCTACAACCCAGAGGAAATGCACGCCGCAATCAGCTGCTGCTAACCTACCTGGCTGACTAGTTACCCGGCTATAGCCGGCTATGGACAGCGCATCCATGTCGCTGACGTCGCTGACCAGCCTGGGGCTGTTGCTGCTGCTGCTGATGGTGTTGGTGATGTGCGTGCTGTTGGTGTGCCGTTGTTTGGGTCCGCGTGCCGCCAGCTGGATGCGAATGCGCTCCAGCAAGGAGGAGAAAATTGGCCTGTCCAAGCACAAGCTGTTCCATGCCAACGGCTACATGGCCAGCGTGAGTAGCGCAGCTCCAGCTGCAGCTGAGCCCATATTTAATCACTTTACTGCCCGCAGATACAATCCGGCTCCGAGTTTCTGCTGAGCACCAGCGGCAGCTTCAAGCGCTTCGATACCATTGACAAGGACGACCACAATCGCTCCCAGCAGCAGCTGCTGCAGCTGCAACAACACCACCACCAGCAGCAGCAGCAGCAGCAACAGTTGCTGCTGGGCAATGGAGGCGAGAACATGACGACGACGACGACGACACCTTTGTGGAATCTGCCGCAGGCGGATGTCAGCATTCCGCCGCAGCCGCTGCGCCCAGCGCCGGCGCCGGCACCGAACAGCGCCGGGCCAAGCAGCAAGACGGTCACCTTCTCCTTCAGCCAGATCAATGAGCTGGACTCGCCCACGACGGAGCCGCGCTCCTGCCCGCGACCAGCTACGGCTGCGGCTGCGGCTGCGGCTGCTCTGCCGCAGCCGCTGGAGGCGCCGCCGCCGCCGCGACTAACGACATCCGCGTCGGTGACGCTCTCCGCGACGGCCATACCGCGTCCCATTGCCAAGCGGCAGGTGTCGCTGCAGCAGGGCATCAATCGCAGCACAGAGGCCGCACCGACCCAATCCCAATCCCAATCGCTGTCCCAGTCCGAATCCCAGCACCAGCCGGAGCGTCGTCCGCCGGCGCTAAAGCGTCGCAATTCGAGCACGAATCCCTTTCTGTGCGAATCCACGGAGCAATTGCCGCCGCCGACGGCAGATCCGCCGCACAATGGCAATCCCTTCGTGCATGGCCAGAGCCTGTCCAGCCGCCTGCTCAAGCTGCACAATGCCAACAATCCGTTCACGGGGCTGACGCAGCGCGTCAAGGGGCCGCACATGCTGCAGAAGACCATCTCGGAGGATTATCTGTTCCGCAAGCTGCCCAATGGACATGGCGCCGCGAATGGGAACGGCAACGGCAACGGCAACTCGACCTGGTGCTTTGGTCGCTCGCTGCTCCGGCAGGATTCGAGCATCAGCCTGGGCCTGGGCAGGCGGAACAGCTCGCAAATTTCGCTGGACGGCTCGATTGAGGGCATCCATTTGGAGCACGCGATCTCCTGCGATTCGGTCAACTCGGACGCATCGTCGCTGTGCCTCGATCAGCTCGATCAGCCCTATACGCAAATCACGGGCTATCTCTGCGTCAGCCTGCAGTACGACATGTGAGTGCCCATTCATCTAAATGAAAATCCATTTGATGCATGCGACACTCATCTTTCAGGCACAAAAGCAGCAACAGCAGCCAGAACGAGGAGCAGCTGGAGCTGACGGTCAGCGTGCTGGAGGCCAAGGGACTCATCTGTCCGCTCAGCATGGGCCTCGACTCGCTGGACACATTCGTGCGCATCTACCTGGTGCCCGATCATGCGGGCGGCATGCAGACCAAGGTGAGTGAAAGGCTGCCAATCGAGTCCTTTATAGTCGTCCACACGAGCTTTGAGCTTTAAGAAAGCTTTAAGGCTTAAGAGAGCTTTCAGCTCCAAAGGTTGCCTAGCCCAAGGCTACCAATGGAGTCCTTTATAGTCGTCCAATTGAGCTTTAAGAAAGCTTTAAGTTTTAAGGGAGCTTTTAGCTCAAACGACATTAAGTGAGCTTCAGATTTGACCTTTTGAGAATGAACATAATAGTAAAGAAGAAGAATACAAGGATAAGAAAATCTTGAGCTTTAAGAAAGCCTTAAGTTTTAAGGGAGCTTTTAGCTCAAACGACTTTAAGTGAGCTTCAGATTTGGAAATTTGGCAAAAAAGCATACAAGGATAATAAAAGCTTGAGCTTTATTAAAGCTTTAAGGTTTAAGAGAACCTTTCGCTCTAATGAGCTTTAAGAAGAAGGATACAAGGATAATAAAAGCTTGTGCTTTAAGAATGAGAATATAATGAAAGCTGAAAGGGGAGATGCTTTATTGCATCTAGCCAAGTTGCGTTAGAAGAGACTTTCGCAGTGTTAGAAAAGGGCTTTAAAAAATTTCGTAAAGCTCTTTAAATGCTCTCCGTTTTAGCTCTCAGTTATAGCTAGTTAGAGCTTTAAGCTTAAAGCGAACTTCAAACAAGTAAGAATGCTTTAGACGAGGCTACCCGACCGCCTACCCGGCTTTGTATTGCTGTACAAAATAGAAAAGTGACTAAAAACTATTAAAGTCTCCTTTAAGCTCATGAAGCTCTCTTAAAGCTCACCTTAAAGCTTCAATAAAAACTGTTCGACAAAGCTCTGTTGAACCATTAAGTCACTTTAGTTAATTTAACGTTTGATCACTTCTTCTGCTCTCGCCAACTTCCTGTTGCAATTTTTGGCATTAAAGCTCACCTTAAAGCTCTTTCCACTTAAACTAAAACTGTTCGACAAAGCCCTGTTAAACAATTAAGGCACTTTAGTTAATTATACGTTTGATTAACTGTTAATTCACTTCTTTGAAGCTGCTTTTGCCGGCAATTTGTAGACTTAAAGCTCACCTTAAAGCTCTTTTCACTTGAACTAAAACTGTTCAGCAAAGCCCTGTTGAACAATTAAGGCACTTTAGTAAATTATACGTTTGATTATGTGTTAATTCACTTCTTTGAAGCTGCTCTCGCCAACTTCCTGCAGCAATTTGTAGTCTTAAAGCTCACCTTAAAGCTTTTGCTTAAGAAGCCAACCCTGCTTAGGTCTCTCTTAATGCATTCACACTCTTCTGCCCGCCCTGTCAGGTGGTTAGGTCAACGCTGACGCCAGCGTACAATGAGAGCTTCAACTTTCGACTGAAGCGCGAGGCGGGCAGGCGGTCGCTCTGGTTCCATCTGTACCACAATGGGCCCGCGCACACGCTGATCGGCGAGGCGGAGATGGAGATTGGCGAGATGTCGCGTCCGATAACCACATGGATACCGTTGTCCGATTCGCGCAAATGCAATGCCCGCTGGGGTGAGCTGATGTTCTCGCTGAGCTATCTGCCGACAGCGGAGCGCCTCACCATAGTCGTGGTGAAGGGACGCAATCTCAAGCTGGACCTGGAAGCGGAGCAGCAGCAGCAGCAGCAGCAGCAGCAATCGGGCGCAGTGCAGCACGTGTTTGTCAAGGTGAGGATTGCTCGGTTGATTTATGTCGGCCCATGCTGCACGTCCGATTTGTTACCTAGGTCTATCTGATGAACAACGACAAGAAGGTGCTGAAGAAGCGCACCTCGCTGAAGCGCAAGGATCGCTGCCCCATTTTCAACGAGTCGATGATCTTCAGTGTGCCGCCCCAGGGTCTGACCACGGTCCAGCTGCGCCTCACCGTGTTCGGTGTCACGGACAACGGGATTGTGGCATTGGGTCATGTCATTGCCGGCAGCTGTGCGGTCGGCAAGGGTCTGCGCCACTGGCATCAGATGCTCTCCTCGCTGCGCAAGCCGGTGGCCATGTGGCATGTGCTCCGACGCGCCGCCAATCAGCCCGTCTTCATTGGCGGCGCCGAGGCCGTTGTCGCCGCCATGCAGAGCACCCTGCAGCGGGCCAGCGCCAAGCGCAATAGCATCGTCTAGACGGGTGAGGCGGATGACACGGATGGAGCTGTGGCGCGTTGCGGCTGTAGAAGTTGGAGCGACAACTGGTGAGGGAGCTGGAGCGGGAGCAGAAAATGGAGCGTGAACTGAAGCAGGAAGTGGAGCTAGAGCTGGAGCGAGAACTAGAGCAGGAACTGAAGCAGGAACTGGAGCAAAATCTGGAGTAAGACCTGAAGTAAGAGCTGGAGTCAGAGCTGAAGCAGGAACTATAGCAGGAACTGGAGCAGGAACTGGAGCAGGAACTGGAGTCAGAGCTGAAGCAGGAACTGGAGCGAGAGCTAGAGCAAGAGCTGGAGCGAGAGCTGGAGTCATAGCTGAAGCAGGAACTTGAGCGAGAACTGGAGCAGGAACTAGAGCAGGAACTGGAGCAAGAGCTGAAGTCAGAGCTGAGGTAAGAACTTGAGCGAGAACTGAAGCAAGAGCAAGACCTTGAGCGAGAACTGGAGCAGGAACTGGAGCAAAAGCTTAAGCGAGACTTGCAGCCAGAACTGGAGCAGGAACTTGAGCAGGAACTTGAGCGAGAACTGGAGCGAGAACTGGAGCAGGAACTGGAGCGAGAACTGGAGCAGGAACTGAAATGGTAACTGGAATTGGATCTCCAGCGAGAACTCAAGCGTAAGCCAGATTAAGAGTTGCATCTTAATGCAAGGATGTGCGATTGCATTTAGACAGAAGTCACATTCTGCCTCGGTCAAGCCCTCAGCCACGCCCACAAACCACACACACTATACCCACCAGCCACATCCCGTATCCAACTGCCATGTGGCCTTGTCCCAGCTCCAAGATGGCAGCGTCTGCATTGCATTTACTAAATTTCTTACTTTTCTACAAGTTTCCTAAAGCCAAACTTAACAGAAACCCCGCACCAAAGGACAAATCGAGCCTATTAACTAGTTATATATACACACACACACACATATATATATATATATATATATATACTATATAATATATATATATTTAGTCGTATGCATGCACAATATACCATATATGTACTTATTAAATACTGCACGCACGCATTGTTATCAAGCATTTACCACTTATCGATAATTATCGAGCTGCTAAATATCGATCAGCGTATAAGCTAGTTCTAGATCTTCGAAAAGTCGAATATTAAATACCCTCGCAATACTCCAAGATACAGTTAAAAACTCGAAATGTCTGATAGTTACAAAATGATAGTTCCAACTGATAACAGAGATCGGATATATCTACTCATATATTACTGATTGACTGACTTACTCGCTGATTGACTGACTGACTGACTGACCGACCGATTGATTGCGATAGATTTATCGTGACGAGATTTTCGATAACTTCCAGTTTAATGCAACTCTCGATTGCGATAAATCTTTTGTGATGATACTTTCAATAACACAGATAGGTTACATATATATTGATTGACGGATTGACGGACTGATTGAATTACTGACTAACTGATTGCGATAGATCTTTTGTGACGGGATTTTCGATAACATAGATCGAAATATATCTACTCATATATAACTGACTGACTGACTGACGGACTGACTGACTGATTGACTGACTGACTGGCTGACTGATTGCGATAGATCTTTTGAGGCGAAACGTTCGATTACCTTCACTTGAATGCAAGTCGTGATTGCGATAGATCTTTTGATTGACAGACTGATAGACTGTTCGATTGACTGAATGACTGACTGACTGATTGACTGATTGACTGACTGATTTCAATCGATCTTTTGTGAAAAGATTTTCGACAACTTCCAATTGAATGCGCTTTTATGTTTCTCATCCGAACTGTTCCGCATTTCTTCTTCTTCTTTAAATACCTTTTGAATGAATGAGCTATTTTTTTGGGTGACAAATAACCTACCTAGCCCGGGCAAAGCCGGTTAATACCATCCAGTTGTCTCACGCAAGGGTATAAAAGTTAGAAGCACATTTGCACAAAAATGCTGGCTACTTTTTACTAAGTTAACTCATAAATTATATGCATAAACATATAAATATAAATATATATATCAATTATATTCTATGAATAGATAAAACGTTTTCTGGCAATCAAGATATTTGAAATATTTAAATACAAAGATGGAAAATGTTGCGAGCGAAAAAAAGGAAAATTTGGAGAAAAAAAATAATTGCATATGAATAAAACCGTGGAAGGAAAACCCGATTCGAGCAATGTGATATGTAATAATTCAGATTTAGCTAATTAAACGAGATGTATGTGAATGTATGTGCGTATTTGTATTCGAACCTGCATTCGTATTCGTATTCGTATTCTTATTCGTATTCGTATTTGTATTCGAACTCGTATTCGTTTTCGTATTCGTATTCGTATTCGTATTTGTATTCGTATTCGTATTCGTATTCGTATTCGTATGTGTATTTGTATTCGAACTCGTATTCGTATTCGTATTCGTATTCTTATTAGTATTCGTATTCGTATTCGTATTCGTATTCGTATTCGTATTTGTGATTGTATTCGTATTCGTATTCGTATTTGTATTTGTTTTCGTATTCGTATTCGTATTCGTATTCGTATTCGTATTCGTATTCGTATTCGTATTCGTATTTGTATTCGTATTCGTATTCGTATTCGTATGTGTATTTGTATTCGAACTCGTATTCGTATTCGTATTCGTATTCTTATTAGTATTCGTATTCGTATTTGTGTTCGAACTCGTATTCGTTTTCGTATTCGTATTCGCATTCGTATTCGTATTCGTATTCGTATTTGTATTCGAACGCGTATTCGTATTCGTATTCGTATTCATATTCATATTCGTATTCGTATTCGTATTCGTATTCGTATTTGTGTTCGAACTCGTATTCGTTTTCGTATTCGTATTCGTATTCGCATTCGTATTCGTATTCGTATTCGTATTCGTTTTCGTATTCGTATTCACATTCGCATTCGTATTCGTATTCGTATTCGTATTCGTATTCGTATTCGTATTCGTATTCGTATTCGTATTCGTTTTCGTATTCGTATTCGTATTCGTATTCGTATTCGTATTCGTATTCGTATTCGTATTCGTATTCGTATTCGTATTCGTTTTCGTATTCGTATTCACATTCGTATTCGTATTCGTATTCGTATTCGTATTCGTATTCGTATTCGTATTCGTATTCGTATTCGTATTCGTATTCGTATTCGTATTCGTATTCACATTCGTATTCGTATTCGTATTCGTATTCGTATTAGTATTAGTATTCGTAGTCGTATTTGTATTCGCATTCGTATTTGTATTCATTTGAAAGCCAGCAAGTATTTACGAATGGTTTTATACTAGTTATATATATATATATATATATATATATATATATATATATATATATATATATATTATACTCGATGGATCAACAGACTTAGCACAGTTTGGAGTTAACGAAAACGTTTTCGAGTTGCTGTCAAAGCCGCGTGTTCAGTGGAAATAAGATTTACCAAAGAAACAATAATCAAAATACACATAAATCAGATCGATTCGATCGTTATTTCATTTACCCTAAGACCTACTTACGATCCAAACAGCCCGAAGAAAGAACTAACTTTGCTAACTTCGGCAGGCCGAACACCAAATACCCTTGTAGAATGTGCGAAAAGCAGACGGCATATCGAATATCTGGAATAACATATAAGGTTTTCCATATAAAAACTTATTCCTCGAGCGATTCTGAAGGAATAACCATATGATATAGCAGTCAAATGTGTAGAAAAATGTTACAGATCGCCAAGTCTGGTAAAGAGAATATATATATATATATATATTTTGCCAGGAATCAGCTGGAGATTTAAGCTATATATAGAGATGATCATCGTATAGCAGCTATATACACAAGATTCTTCCGATTCTTTCTTTCGATTCTGTTTCAGAATATATAGACTTTATGGCATATATATATATATGTATATATATATATTTCGTTTCTCACAAAATAATCGCAAACCGAAAGCCACACAAATTAAAGCAAAAGACAATAACTTTGCAAGCATTTAAGAGGAGAGATTAAAAAAAAAGCAATTTCGTATAGTTAAAATTGATAACTTGAAGCACAAATCAGACAATTGCGGCAAGTTTGAACCTTTTGTTAACCCGCACCGAGCCCAGGCTATTTACCTGTATATATACTATATATATCTATAACGATCTATAGCTATGCATATTCGAAGAAATCGAAGAACTTTAGTAGAACTATATAAATGACCAATCAATCCAAAAACCTGGCACACAACCTTTAGCAGCTTTAATATTCCAACTAAGTAAAAAGTAAAAATATTTAATGAAGATAAACTAATATCTAAATGAAAACTTAAAGAAAATTCAAGAAATAGCTGTAATTGCTTACAAATTAATTATGCAAATATCAGTTTTGTACTTTAGCTAAGAATCAAGCGAAAAAACATAATTCAAGATTGTTAAAAACTTAGTTAAATAATTCTCGTGTTGAATATTTGTATTTACATACATGCATCTAAGTGCTACACACACACACACACACACACACACACACACACACATACTATATATACCTTATATATACACATATGTATACATATATATATCTATATTGGATAGATGTAAACGATCTATATGCGAATGCTACAAATTGTTATACAAATAAAAATCGAATTGAAATAAAACAAAAGAACATTCAAAAAGATTAACAACTAAGCACGCTCCACTTGTGTTTACTCGACGGGCGTATACCCTGTAATTTGATTGTATATGACACCACATAGACCTGATTTTAAGCTGCAGACTAGGTTTGGCATATTCTTTCCACAGAGGAGAAAAAGCATATTCGCAGTCCACAGAAAAGTCTCGCACTGAGACTATTGTCGAGTATATATAGAGAGTATAGAGTATTATGGATCTTTAAAGTCGCATAAAATGAGCATTATATATGAGTATTATAGATCTTGAAGATTCAATAAGATAAGATATCGATTATTTCGAATTAAAACCGAATTCAACCTAACCCAACTTTAAATTCATTCCTCATTATAGAGTATTATAATAGAGTATTATAGATACTTAAAGTCCCATCAAATAATATCTAGATTATTTGCTGTTTTTCTCAAGAAGAAGCATAAATATTTTGCTATAAATCAGAGCAAAGTCTTTTCAATATAACCTCACTTTAAATACATTCACAATAGATTCAAATGCAAGGGAAGTTAAACTAAAATGTTTCAATGTTCAAAGATTTCGCGAACTCTTCTCTAGATTCATGCCTAAAGAACTAAAGAATATTGTGACTTGAATGTGAATACAGGGTATACGAAGTGAAAAGTCTCGAACAAAACAAAGCAATTAAAATTGATACTCTTGTGGACACACACACACACACACACACACGCGCAGCAGACGACAGCTGGACAGATATAGAGATACATTTGTATCTTTGTGCGGTTTTCAATTGAATTTCCAATTTCAATTTGTCTGATGCCAGCCAGCTGTGCTGCCATTGGATCAGCTATTTTTAGTCACAGCGATTAGCAGCCAATGGGCTGGCAGCAGGGATTCATCTGCGACCACTTGACGTCGTCGTCGTCGACTCGCGCCGCTGCCAGACTGTCTGGCAAGTAGCAGAAATCACTTCACGGCAACTCGACGCGATCAACCGGACCGGACCGGGTCCTTGCCTGATAAATGTGTGTGTAACGTGGCGCGAGATCCTTTCAGTTGATAGCTGGCCGTGCTACTGATTAGAACGTTCTCTTTGTACTTTGACAATCGACTAGGCAATAAAAACGTGATGCACTCGCTGGCCGTTAACATGGTTGGCAGCTCCAAGGAGCGCCGAATGCTGCGCACGCCCAAGTGTGCCCGCTGTCGCAATCATGGCGTCATCTCGTGCGTCAAGGGCCACAAGAAGCTGTGCCGCTGGCGCGAATGCTGTTGCCCCAATTGCCAGCTGGTCGTCGATCGGCAGCGCGTCATGGCCGCCCAGGTGGCGTTGCGACGCCAACAAACCATGGAGGCTTTGGAGGCACATGCCGCTGAACCGCCCAATCCCATCGCCAGCGATGAGGAGCAACCGCCGTCGCCGGCGACGTCGCTGACCACGCCCACCAAATCCAGCACCATGGCGGCGAATACGCTGCGCACACGCCAGGCCCTGATCGCCCAGAAGCGCATCTACAAGCAACGGCTGCGCAATCTGCAACAGTCCACGTTGCACATCACCGCGGCCATGGAAGGTAAGTGCAGCTATTTGTCACACTCAGAGCTGGACAAAAATTCGATTTAAAAAAAAAAGGCTAAATAGAGGGAGGGTAAGAAGTGGAAGAAAGTTCAAAGTGTGCTGATCAAAACACGATATGATCTTCCATAAAAAGACACCGAACTGTTTTTCCATTTTATACACCTATATTATAAAAGGCAACAGTACAAATTTCACAAAAATCAAAAGTCCTGAAAGGCCATAAAGTCGTAAAAGCAAAATTGTCCATTCAAAATAGTCCGTTTACAAGCTAATAGCTATTTACCTATCCAAAAATACTAGATTTAGCTAGAAAATAGCTAAATTAGCAGCAACGTTGCAAGACAGTCGCCCGCCATGCGGTGCCAGACTGTCTGGCAAGGCTTGTAACCCGAGCAAGGCGAGGAAAAGAGAGCGCGCGAGTGAGCGCGAGAGAGCGCTAGAGAGCGAGCGGGGGAGCGGGGGAGTGAGAGCTGGCTAGCGACAGGAAATGCCTGATTCCTTACAAAAACAACAATAACAATTAGAAGAGCAACAAATTTGTTAAAAATCACCCAATGTAATTGAACGCCTGTCGTATGCACGCATATTGAAGCGTTATGTCCAATCCGTCGTTGAAGCCCAATTTTCTTTGCATTGTGTAAATCGATACGTGAAAACGGAAAAACCTCTTGAGGCAAATGTGGCAAAAGTCAACGGGGCAACGACAACAAGCAACAAAACGTTGCAAGGGTGCACATTTTCGAATATTTAACTTTTCCATCTGGTTTCCAAGTAAACGAAAATATTCACGCAGACAATTTTGGTGCCGTGCTGTCTGGTTATGGTCTTTGGCTCTAGGATCTGTATGCTAGGTTCTTTGCTTGTGCAGCTCAAATTACGCCTCAATTTCCACATGCTACACTCAGAGAAATTGTCACTCTAAATTCAAGTACATATGTATACCGAAATATTCATTGATTAAGTATCAATTATGGGCTTGAAAACTGATTGAAAGATTATAAGGCTAGGGTAAAGAATTGCGTTCTCAGGTTAAGATATTTATGATCCCGTACAATGTACTTGATTTGACTACACAATACTTGGTTCTTTCTCTGAGTGTATACACCCACATAGTAGATATTCGGTGTGCTGAACGAATTGAGACAATTTGAAAGCAATTTGTACAATAGATTTGACGCCAACGTCAAGATCAAAGAGCTCGCTCGCTAGCACACGCACACACACAGCCCCCTCCCCCTCCTCTACCCCGCCTACACAACTTATAGCGTGTAATTTCAAATCTAATGCCCCACCTCCCGCCCTCTTCTCATATCCACTTGCAGAGTACAAGCAGCGCTTTCCCACGTTCAATTCACCGCTGCTAGAACGCATGCGCAAGCGACGCGCGTTCGCTGACCCGGAACTGAACTATGCAATGGATACAACGCTACTTGGCAGCTCCGCCTGTGGCGGCGCAGCAGCTCCTTTGGCAACGCCGCCAACAGCAATTGGCAACGCCTTTTATGATCTATTGGGCAATGCCGCCGCCGCTGCAGCAGCAGCAGCAGCAACAGCAGCTGCGCAACAGGAGCAGCATCGGCAGGCATATCAATCAATGCCGCGCATTACGCAGACGCCCACGCCAACGCCCGTCGTCAAGAAGCCCAAGCTGAGTTTTTCAATTGAGTCGATAATTGGCATCAGCACGTAGCCGAGAAGCGAAAAACAGTCGCATTTTGTATATAGACAATTTTTTAAACTAACCTTTTTTTTTAATAGTATTATGATTCTTAGGAAATAAAACAATTTTCACCGGATTTCAAATGTGTCTTGCTTTTTTGCTGAGCTGATTTATCGATAACTAAGTTGCCCCCACGTTATTGGCGCTGAAATTGTATCGCAAATATGGCAACATTAGAAAAATACATCTTGCCAAATAGTTAATAAAACAGTCGCATTTTGTATATTGACCATTTTTTTAGCCAACCTTTTTTTAGTATTTTGATTCTTAGGAAATAAAAATAATTTTCGCCCGATTTCAAGTGTGTGCATATTTTGATTAATTGATTGAACCGATTTAAAAATTGCGCGCGCGAATCATATTTATAGAAAATTTATCGATAACTCAGTTGCACTACGTGATCGGCGCTGAAATTGTATCGCAAATATGGCAACGTTATAAAAATATATGCTGTCAAATAGTTAAAAACAAAAAACATCGCTAACCCTGCCAAATAGTTAACTTAAACTTAACTTACAATATTATGCATTAAGGAGAAAACACTTTTCAACATTTAAATATGCGTAAATGAAGACAAGAGATGCCACTTGTCAAAACGTGACCGTGATTTGGTATTTTTATGTGGCGCAGTCACTGTTTGGCGCCTATTGCACATCTTTCACATGGAACTACACACAACTTTCGCCCGCTGCTGACTCAGAAATGACAACAATATTTTACGCGGAACCCGAACTGGTGCTGGGCCATGGCCGCAAGGTGTTGTTTCTCAATCCCAATGACCTGCAAATCTTTAAGGACATCGAATTGCCAGCGGACCTAACAACATGTGGACTCAAAATCGCCGCTGCCGACGCGACTGAGGAGCAGCAGCAGCCGGTCGGCTCGGAGAAGGCAGCAGCTGGTGCAAATTTGGAGGTGTCCATAGTAAATGTGAGCTATTCGCCAGATCGACAACTGATTGCGCTGACCACGGCTGGCCAAAAGGCGCTGCTGCTGTACAAAAGCCGGCCCGAGCATGCCAAGCTGCTGTCCGTACGCGCCCTGGCGCGTGCCTCCAGTGCACTGGCATTTGCACCGGACTCGAGTTCGGTGCTGGTCACGGACAAAACCGGCGATTGTTATCGTTACGATTGCGTGGAGCTTGAGGCGCCGCCACAATTGCTGCTGGGTCACCTGAGCATCGTTTACGATATACTGTGGACGCCGGATCAGAAGCACATCATCACCTGCGATCGGGATGATAAAATACGGGTCACCAACTATCCGGCCACCTATGACATACACAGCTATTGCCTGGGCCACAAGGAGTTCGTGTCCGGCCTGGCGCTCCTCACTGGCACCGAGCACCTCGTTTCCGCCTCCGGTGACAAGACGCTGCGTATCTGGAATTACACGACAGGCAAGCAGCTGCTGCAACATGAACTACCCGCGCCGGCAGTGCGCCTGCGGTTGCGCGACTTGCTGCCAGCCAAGCGCTATCAAGTTGCCGTGCTCTTCTACGAACACGTCGAAGCTATTGGCCTGTACGAGCTGGCGCTGGATGAGCAAAGCAAAGATATCTGGACTGTAGCACGGCAGCAGATGGTGCGTGCCGAGGCGGGCAGCTGGAACATAAGCTGCTTTGCGCTCACCAGCGACAGCATCTACGTGGCCGGCGCCCTCGACGAGCGCCTAACGCTGCGCGTCTACAACAGCAGCGATGGCGAGCAGGCCAAAACGACGGTGCCCACGGGCTGGCTGGACATGGTCACTGAGCACTTTGCCGACCAGACGTGCGTGCCGGAGGATCTGTCCGTGTGGTTTAAGAAGCGCTACGACAACGTCAGCGACTACATGGAACGCAAGAAGCGCCGCATCGAGGATCAGCAGCACCAGCAAAAAAGCTGACAATTCCACACTCGCAATTCACACTTAGCCTAGGCATTTTTTGTAATCAATTTTACGAAATATATATATATATATGTATATATATGTTAACCAGTTGCAATTTTGATCAGGCGGATTAATGTCCATGCCAGGACTGCAAGTACTTAAAATATTAGCCTAGATTTGGTTGCGTCTCGTGCTTTAATTCTTTGTCAAATCACGAACAGGCCCGACCTCACCAATAAACTGCTCATTTTTCATACTATTGAAATTGAAAATAGTTATACAAGCTCAAAGCTAGTGTCAAACGGGATGACACGCCGAAAATACCCAAAAAGAAAAAATCAAGAGGTTCTAGTCGGGAGCTCCCGACTAGGCGATACCCTGAACCCTCTTCTTCCAACAGGCGACGGGTATAAAATGAAAGATAATTGATATATGTATATATATACTATTCTAGAACTTGGAAACGGGCCAAGTTATCGAATATTGGAAACAAACTCGATCTGCGCGGGCACTAGGAGGACCTACAGCTAAAATTTCAAGTCTTTAGCTCTTATAGGTTCTGAGATCCTTGCGTTCATACATACGGACGGATGGACAGACAGACATGGCTAGATCGACTCAACTGTTGATGCTGATCAAGAATATATATACTTTATGGGTTCGGAGATGCTTTCTTCTGCCTGTTACATAGATTTGCACAAATACATTATACACATTTTCAATGGGTGCAGGGTATAAAAAGTCGTAAATGCCATGTGATTCTCCAGATTAGGCGTATTTCCAAATTGAGATCCGTGCTAGAAATATCTGATAAATCTGTATCTCCATTGCAGCACGCTAATTAATATATAAACACATTGATTGTAACAATTTTCCGGCTCACGCTCCACTTTCATCAGTTAATAACATTTCGATTAGATATTTGTCCAATCCAATCCACATTATCGTGAGAGTACATAATGTTATTCATATTTATTTTATATTTAGGTAGTTTGCATTTGACAACATGTAATTAAACTGGCTTGTAATCCAATTTGCTTTCAAGCTTCTTGTTGTCCGACACCTTACGCACGGCCTTCATGAAATCCTCTTGAATAACATATTCACGTTCGGCCCTGCAAGCAAATTTTGTATATAATTAGAAGAAGTAGGGGAGCAGCTAGCTGCAGTCTTACCTGATGGCAAAGAGGCCCGCCTCCGTGCAGACATTACGCAAATCGGCGCCATTAAAGTTATCCGACAACTTGACAATGGCCTCATAGTCCATCTCGCCGTGTTTGGCTATCTTGAGCGCATGAATCTTGAGTATCTCCAAGCTAAAATGAACACATAATATATATTGAAATAAAATTGAAGGTTTTATGTTTGTTGTTTCAGTTACCGCGCCTGCTCGTTGGGCAATGGAATTTCGATTTTGCGATCCAAGCGACCGGGACGCAATAGGGCAGGATCTAGCGTATCTGGTCGATTGGTGGCCATGATCATTTTCACCTGACCCAGCGAATCGAAGCCGTCCATTTGATTCAGCAGCTCCATCAGGGTGCGCTGAATCTCACGATCCGCAGACGTGCCCTCGGAGAAACGACGACCGCCAATGGCATCGATTTCATCCATGAATATAATGCAGGGCTGATGATCGCGGGCATAGTTAAACATTTCACGTATCAAACGTGCACTCTCCCCAATATACTTGTCCACAATGGCCGAGGAGACGACCTTCAGGAAATTGGCGTCCAGCTGTGAGGCAACAGCGCGTGCCAGCAGCGTCTTGCCGGTGCCGGGTGGTCCATAGAGTAGACATCCCTTGGGCGGTGTGATGCCGACGCGCAGAAACAGTTCCGGATTGAGCAGCGGCAGCTCAATAACCTCACGCAGCTCACGGATTTGCTCGGTAAGGCCACCGATGGCCGAATAGGTAACATCGCCAGGATCCTCGTGCGACATATTGTACACAAGCGGATCGACTTCGCGCGGCAAATAACGCATTATTGTCAGTGTCGTCATATCCAGGGCGACGCGTGTCCCCGACTTCAACTTGGCCTTGTCCAACTGGCGACGACAGCCAACCACATAGCGCGGTCCATTGGTAGCTTTGACAATGACTAAAGAGAAGCAAGAGAAGTTAGTCCATAAAGCATATATATCCCGGATCAGTACCAAGTCGATCTAGAATAATTGGCTAATTTCCAGTTGTCTTTCTACGATTTCTATCATGCTCCACGCAGACGAGATCCAATCAAAATCGGACTGCTATATCCTATAGCTCAATACGAAGAATCGGTCGCAAACATTGCTTTTTATTAGGATGTATTTCACAATTCTCCTTAGGATTCTCCTCACCCGTTTTTAATCCTCGGCTCGCCGAAGGCAGCCTTTCATTCTTGTTACCCTAGCCAAGCTCGGCCATTTGGAGTGTTAATATTTATAATCAAAATCGAAATTACAGTACACTTCAACTGTAGCACAACTTATATTTAATCTACGCCAGTCGGAAATAGTTATATCTTAGTTTAAGTACTTACACTTATCCTCGGTCAATTGTTTGAGCACCTCGCCCACAATTTGGCCGACACTCTGCAGCGCTTTTAGATCATTTTCTGATTTGTCATACAATTTAGTTAGCTCCTTGAGTTCCTCGCGCTCTATGGTTGAATTATATATTTAATTGTTAAAACCTGATAGTTATTAAATTATTAATTTTGCACCCACTTTCTTTGAGGCGGCCGTCAACTTCTTTGTGCTCCAGCAATTTCTTTCTGTAGTCGGAGAGCGCCTTTTCGCGTATACTCTCCGTGGATGGAGCTGCAGTTACGGTCATTTTAGATGATTATTTGCAATGCTTTTAACAGTTTATAAACATTTGCTAAATAAAAACGAAGCTGTCTAATGATATTGCAGTTTTACAAAACAGTGTGACCGGCTTTGGGGAGCACCGACAATACCATAGACAAATGCCGAAACTAGTATTTTTAATATACTGAATATGCCCTGAACAATGCCCTGGAGACAGTATGCTGTTCACTGCAGTGCAAAATTAATTCAAACAAAGAACGAAATAAAACCTTGTGCGGTTGCAAAATCACTTTGACAATTCTATAGAGATAAAAACAAAGGGCAAACGAAACGCGTATTAAATAAAAGCAGAAATAATCAAAATTAACATATTCTGCAGAGGCCGTTGCAGTATGTACAATTTGAGTACGTGACGTCACTAGCCAAAAATTACTGTTACGCACAATCTATAATCGTCCATTGTCCTGCAGTGTGCCATAATGCCGTTGACCGCTCAATTTGTGCGCAATTTGCAGCGTTTCCGGCTCGTGACCTTTGACGTAACGGATACGCTACTCCGGCTAAAAGAGCCAACCAAACAATACGCCGAAACGGCAGAACAATGCGGAATAACCGGCATAAACAAGGCACAGCTGGAACGCTGCTTTCGGCAACAATTCAAATTGATGAGCCGAACGCACCAGAATTTTGGCCGCTGTACGCCGGACATGAGCTGGCAATCCTGGTGGCTGCAGGTGGTCATCAACACGTTCACCTGCATGGACGCCAGCCTGTCCAAGGCCAAGCTGCAAACTGTCGCCGAGCAGCTGCTGGTCATCTTTCGCACCAGCGCCTGCTGGACGCACATCGAGGGCGCCACGGATTTTGTGCAGCACGTTCGCGAGGCCGGCAAATGTGTGGGCATCATATCCAATTTTGATCCCTCACTGCATCAGGTGCTGAGCGCCATGGGCTTCAATGACAAATTCGATTTCATACTCAACTCGTACGATGCCGGCGTCATGAAACCGGATCCGGCCATATTTCAACTGGCGCTCCAGGGCCTTAACATAGCGCCCGACCAAGCGCTGCACATTGGCAATCAATTGGACATGGATTACACGGGCGCACGCAACAGCGGCTGGAGCAGTCTGCTCGTCCAGCCGAAACAGCCGGCGCCGGCGTCGGCGCCGGAGCCAGGCGATCCGGCCAGGCACACGTACGCCAGCCTCGCCGAGATGCTGCTGGCGCTCGAAACGCAGGCGATAGCCTGGTGAACAAAAAATACACGAAATCGAATCCAAATCTCTGTTCTATTATTTGATTGGTCAAAAGTACGTACGTTATTCGAGAGTTCACTGTACATAATTATAGTAATCAATCTGTGACATGGATCAGTTTTTAAATGATCTGAATTCAATTCAAAAAGTACTTGCCAAACAACTGAATCTTATTTCTGTTGCTAAGCAATTAAATAAAAACATAAATAATTATAAAAAAAAAAATGTTTTAGTTTTAGCTCCTGCTCGATTGAGCAGGATTTGGGCATAGTTATCTTTAGCTCAGCTTAGGGTATTAACATAGTTGTAAGAACTTAATCGAAAAGCTTAATTCGAACTTAGAGGCAAACATCAACTGAATTAAGATTATTTAACATATTAGGAATTTATATATTCTAGCATAAACAATAACTTACAAGTATTAATTATATATATGTACATAGAGATAAAAGAAAACATTGGCAACTTATTAATTCGAATTTAAAAAAGAAACAAGAGGTTCTAGTCCCGACTAGGGGATACCCTGAACCCTCTTCTCCCAACAGGCGATATGGGCATAAAGTGAAAGATACTTGATATATTCTAAAAGCTACGTGTCAAGTTTGCTGACTCTAGCTCATATTATTTTTTATCGATTACTTGGAGACGGGGCAAGTTATCGAATATCGGAAACAAACTCGATCTGCGCGTGCACTAGGAGGACCTACAGCCAAAATTTCAAGTCTCTAGCTCTTATAGGTTTCGAGATCCTTGCGTTCATACAGACGGACGGACGGACGGACGGACGGACAGACAGACATACATTATACCCTTTTTAACCATTTTCAATGGTTGCAGGGTACAAAAAAGGAGACAAACAATTTAAAAGCTAACTTGTGACCCGAAATGTTTTTGCTAGTTGGGGGAATGCATATTGTGTGCAGTTGTGGGCGTGGCTCTACGTGGATTTGATTGCCTTGGCGGGCATCTGGGCCTTGGCCGCCTTCAGCTGCTCGAGATTGAACTGTTTGCGTATCTCGGTGGACACCTGCCGGATGACGCTCTCCGTGTTGGCCATCAGATCGCGTTCAAGGACATCGATGTCAATGTCCTTGCTCTCGAGCCGCATCTGCATGTCCGAGTAGAAGTCACAGAAGAGCACCGGCTCATCGGAGCCATTCGGTGTGCGCGTACTGCAGTATTGGCCGCGCCGATGCAGATCCTCATTGTTGGCCCTGGAGTCGAGGAAGCGGCGCGCGCCCAACGGCAACTGCTGCTGTATGAGCCGCTCATGATGCTGCGATATGCGCTGCTTCAGCTTCTTGAACTCCTTTAGCTCGTTCTTCATGTACTTCACATAGCTGTACATCTTGGCTGTCTTCTTGGTGAGATTCTCCAAGCAGCTTATGAAATTGCGCACCTGCTGTGTGCGCGGCAATGTGCTGGGATCCAGACGTTCGGCCTCATCGAAATGATGCTGCGATCGATTGAAGTCATGCTTCATGGCCAGCGCCGAGGCGAGCACCACATGGTTTTCGGCCACCTGCGGTGCATGCTCGACGGCAGCGCTGAGCATCAGATCCGCATCGGCCAGCCGACCCATCCGAAAGAGTATCGTGCCCAGGCTTAGCAACGGTATATCCTTATGCTCCGGCGGCGCCAGCATTGTGGCCAGACGTGCGCAGGGCAGCGCCTGCAGCGCATTGCCGCGCATCCGCCAATAATAGGAGCTGAGCGTATGGAATTTCCATGAGTCCGGCTGACGGCGCAGTCCCTCCAGCGCAAATCGTCGCGTTAGCTCGACTGTTGCGGTGCCGATATTCGTGTCGTGCTCACGATCCACATACGCCGATTCGAGCACCTCGGGCTGAAAGCTATCGAGATGATCGTATGTGGCTGGTCCCACGCTCAGCTCATGGTAATTGCTGCAAATGGGCTCCAAAGTGCGATCGGTTTTCGTACGTATCGATGCCAGCGGCAATCCCTGCTGGAATTCACGGTGCTCCGGTAAATTGATGCGTTTCAGCTGATCCGGTGTGATTTTCAGATACGACATGCGCTTCTCCAGCAGATAATAGTCCATGGCGCATTTGGCCTGATCGGCTAGATCCTCGCCGAAGCGCATCGAGAAGCGCAAATGCTCGACAATTTGCTCCCGCTTGCGCAGCAGCTCCAAATAGCTGCGCTCCACATACTCATTGTATCGTATCTGCTCCAAGAAGGCGATCAGATTGTGCGGCTCCCGCATAAAGAACGGCGAATCCAATTTCTGTACAATGCGCTCATCCTTCAGCACCCAGTGATTGCTGGCAATCAGCACGTGGATGCAGCAGGCGGCAACTAGATACTGACAGAGTCGCATTATGCATTCGCGAGCGGCGACTTAATCCACGTAATTGCTGTTGGCTGCCGCACGAGTTGCAAGCGAAAACATCTAAGGAGCGGTTTTTTTTTTTTGGATATGTAAATAAACACCGACAACAGTTTGTTTTGCACTTTTGGCCATTTTTAGTGTATTTCACATTAACAGTATTCGCCGCAAAAACGCCGGACTGTAAATATAACAGTAGCATCTTAAGGTACCATGAAAGCCAGTATTGCCACATCGGCACAATCTAGCCTTTTTTAAGTTCAGCGGGCATACTGACATTAAAGTATATATATTTTAAGTGGATATTCCTTGGTACATTATCATAATTTTGTGAACATACCTAAGATGTATGACCATAATAACGTATTCCTTTATCACAAGCAATGCCATAAAATGCACTAAGCTATACATTACAGATGCGAGTTTCAAAAATGTCTATATACAACCGTTGCCGACTCTACTTGGTCTCATCGTACTCATATTTTGCATCATTAAACATTTTAAGATTCGCTCACCTATAATTCCTGCGCAAAACTAAATGAATAAGGATATTTTATAGGTAATTTAGATAAATACAGTATAAATATTTTTAAACTCAAATTTAGCTTTTTTAACCAACTCTCTTCTAGAACTTGCATCTTTTGTTTATCAAAAGTTGGCAACACTGACGAAAGCACTTAGGTTGCGGTTTCGTGTGGCCAAATTTATAAAAACTTTTCTCATTATATCTTTTTTTGTTTAATTTGCTTATTTCTGCATACATAAAAGTTAGTTTGTCTGATAACCTGTTTATGATTCAATGTCCCGGCAAAGATAAACTTGTCTACATGTAGTTCTTTGAAGTGGATTTTTATGTTTGGTATTTTTAAACGAAACATCGGGTATTTTTGCTTTGATCGCTAGCGGTCACACGGCTTGCTACATAAAATGCGAAAAAACGGAATCGCGGAGAGCTGTAACGCGGAATAGTACAATAAAAATAATCGTTAATCGCGAGCGTGTTTTTTTCTTTAACCGCTACACAGCACTTTATTGCTTAATATATTTTCTTCGTCGTTAATTACAACGCGTCTTAAATAGGATAAATATGGGAAAATGAGACGTCGCGTTCATGCGAAGTAGTTGAAAAAGAAGGCACACACACATACAACATACATACGCACGCACGTCGTTGCGAAGGAATATATGTATCTACACATGCATGTGAATGTATGAGTGTGCGCTGGTGTGTGCGGCCGTGTGTGTGTGTCGTGCGTTAGCTACTGAGAGTCTCGACTCCAAAAGAGAGAGAGAGAGAGCGAACAAGAGGAGGGGTGGGGACAGAACGGCGGCGTTTGAGCGTTGAAAAAAAAACGTAAAAATGAACTGGCACAGCCGACGACGACTACTACAAAACAAACGCCAAAGTACGTACTATGTTCTACTACGGCTACAACTGTGATATTTGGATATAAAGCCGCCCCGCACCGAAAAAAAACAAGCTCCGTACGTGTATACGTACGCTTGTGTCTCTGCCGCTGGACGACGGAAAGAAAGAAAAAGAAAAAACTAGAGCTATCGAAGCAACAGACAAAGCGGCATCATCCAGAATCGAAAGAAGCAGACACAGCAGCAGCAGCACCACCACCACCACCTCAGTGAATATTATTAAAGGTACGTACATACGTACATGTGTATATGTGTAATAGGCGCCGCCATTTTCCGTGTGATCCATGTAACAAGCTGAAAGAAAAAAAAACCTGGACCTAGGGTTGGCAATGTGCGCATTAAAATCAATCTGAGCATTGTCTACAGCTTACAATTGGGTCCATATACGACATGGAGCTCCCCATTTAGGTCACAATAAACAATTGCCGATATGTTTTGCAATTGTTGTCAATTCGCCGAGTTGAAACTTGCAATGTTTGTTGCTGCAAAACACTTGACAACCCTGCAGCCTTTTTCTTTGTTGACATTTTCGCTTGTGTGTGTGTGCGTGTATGTGTGACTGTGTGAGTTGTGCCTGAAGTGTAGCAGCGATAGTGCTGCCACAAATCTACAATTTTTGTCCGGCCCTATATGAACTAGTGCTACAATGCGTCTTAATTTGCATTTTAACTAGCGCTTGAAATGAAAACACAAAATAAACGATTAGCCAATTTACCGACATTTACTTTTCCAAAAGTGGCAACCTTGCGCAGGTCACTCTCATTTATTTTGAGTCTGCAATGCGCATGAGTGCATAGTTGCTCTCGCTCTCGCACCCAAGCGAATGCATGTGTGCTGCTTTCTTGTGAACAGCTGAGAGCTGCAGCAGCTTTTGGGCACCAATAAAATACACACACACACACATATATATATATATATAACTCACGCACACATATTTGCAATTATTGCAGCAGTGACAATACAACAAAGCCGCAAGGCGTTGTAAAATTTTTTTTGCCTATTGGCTCTGTAAGTTTGACTGTGTGAGTTGTGCGTGTTGTGCAAAATTAACCCATAACCGTTTCGCATTGTTTTTTTTTTTGTTTTGGCCTGAAACCTAACGAAATAATATTAATGCTTTCATTACACATGTGCTTCCATGTTAATTGATTTTTGTTTTGCACGTGTATAAGTGCCGAGAGAGTGGTCAGCAGAGAGGGAGAGAGAGCGAACGAACGCGTGCCGTCTGTCGACCTCGCATCTTTTCCTCTTTCCATCCACCCACAGCCGCATCGCAGGGCGAAGCCATAAAATAATTTTCAAATCAAGTTGAATGTGCAAATTGCATTTATGATTTATAAAAATGATTGCACGCAGTATGTACTGTACGTATGCTCGGCAGAGATTTTCTGCGTTCCTTTGTGCATCGTTAGCCGTCTTGCTGGGTTCTCGCTCTGGCTCGCAAATTGTGTACGCTTATCATTTATCAGCGGCGTCAGCAGAAACAACTTTTGCTTTTGAGAGCTTTTCTGTAAATTCGAGTGTGCGTCTTTGTGTGCGTGTGTGTGTGTGCGCGAATATTCTGTGCCTGGAGTCAATGTTGCCATCTCGTTTGTTTCTATATAAAATTACGTACGGCTTCAATGTGTTATAGTTTGGGTTTTTTTGCAAGCTCAAAGTGGACAAGGCAATTGAAACATATTTATGTTCATATTTTCTGCATGACCATGACATGCATTAAGCCAAATATGTAATGTGGCATTCATGTAAAATTACAACAAAGGGTCAATTGCTGATGAGAAGTAGCAGTCTTTTGCACTCTTTCTATCTTTTTCACTCTCACTTCGGTTCGAAAGCAAGTTGCCATATCTTTAAAATCATTGAAATGAATGCTGGCTAGTACGCTGAGCATGAAAAACCAAAAAAAAAAATACCGAATTCATGAAAAAATTGACTTATTTTTAGACTACGTCAAGTTTTTGTTTATGCGTAGTAAAAGCCGGCAAATAAATGATGAGAAAAAATAATGCGACACAGCGATTCGATTTTCAAATAGTGAGCTGGCCACACTGTTGCTTGAAATTCAAAAGAAAATACAATAGTTTAAGCAAAAATGTTGTTAAAAATAATTTAAATAATTGTTTTTGCCTGTATTTATGTGTTTTTAATTGTATGCCCGTTACTGTTTACAGACTGCACACATATACAGAATGGTCGTCGGCTCGAATCATACGCGGCGCAGTGAAACTGCCGGCAGATACGCAAACAGCAGCAGCAACAACAACAACAACAGCAACAGCAGCGGCAGCAACACCACGAATAGCAGCGGCAGCAACAACAACAATTCCACCAGCTCAACGTCTTCAATTGCAAACGCATCCTCAGCGGCGGCGGCGACGTTGTCGTCGTCGTCGTCGTCGTCAATGTCACACAACAACAATAACAATAATAACAACAAAAGCCAAAACTCAACTCTTAACAACAACAGCAGCAGCAGCAGCAGCAACTCACATCAGCAGCAGCATCATCATCATCATCATCATCATCAGCACAATCATCATCATTACCAGTCGCAGCAGCAACAGAGCACAACGCATCATAGTTCCGCATCAGCACCGGCAACATCTTCATTATCGTCAGTATCATCATCAGCATCGTCAACAGCATCATCGACAACAACAACAACAACATCATCATCATCATCATCGCATGGCGCTGGAGGCGGCGGCAGTGGGGCGGTTCATGTGGCTGTTGGCAGCCTTAACGGTTGCAACGGCAGCGCCGTCAGTCGGCTATCACAATCGACGGGCATGTCGCCCCGTGAGCTGTCCGAGAACGATGACCTGGCCACATCGCTAATACTGGATCCGCATTTGGGCTTTCAGACGCACAAAATGAATATACGATTTAGGCCCCTCAAAGTGGATACACAGCAGCTAAAGGCGATTGTCGATGAATTTATACACACCCAAAACTATGACATTGCCATACAGCGCATCTACGATGGGCCCTGGATACCGCGCCATCTCAAGAATAAAAACAAAATTGCCACCAAGCGGTTGCACGATCACGTAAGTAGTCATAACAATAATTCGCAAATTGTCTTGAGATGTTGATATTTGATTATCGATCAAAACTGTTCGACTAATGCGTGTTATCGTTCTTCTGCAAGCTAATGGAGCAACATACCCTTTGTTCAGAGCATCAGAGCTGCTGCCGATTACTGTCGCTAAATAGATCGATATTTATCGATTTATGTATGCTAGATAAACGGCGCTGTAGAGCTGTATACGAGAACTTTCATTCAAAATTTTGCAGTCTTTAGTTATGATGTGCCCTCGAAATCGAAACAGTTATATATACGTACATACTTTATCGGACCGAATAGATCGATAACATATTCGATACATTATTGAGTGCGAGAAACTGTTTTAAATTTGATATATTCATTATTTCTTCAGTTCGTATCGTATATCGACGATTGTGCTCATTAACAACAGTGACAATAATTAATCGATCAACCGAAAATTGCTCACCGAACAAATATGCTTTATAATATCAACATCTGTGAGATGCTCTCTCTCTCTCCCTTTCTCTCCCTCTCTCTCTCTCTCTCTCTCTCTGTCTGCGGAACACACTAATAAGACAAACTCTTTATCCCATTGCCGATTAGATTGTTCGCTATTTGCGTGTGTTCGACAAGGACAGCGGCTTTGCGATCGAGGCATGCTATCGCTATTCACTGGAGGAGCAGCGCGGCGCCAAGATCAGCTCGACGAAACGCTGGTCGAAGAACGAAAAAATCGAATGCCTTGTCGGCTGCATTGCCGAGCTGACGGAGGCCGAGGAGGCGGCATTGCTGCATTCGGGCAAAAATGATTTCTCCGTAATGTACAGCTGCCGGAAGAACTGTGCCCAGCTCTGGCTGGGACCAGCCGCCTATATCAATCACGATTGTCGGGCCAATTGCAAGTTTTTGGCGACGGGCCGTGACACCGCCTGCGTTAAGGTGCTGCGCGACATTGAGGTCGGCGAGGAGATAACCTGTTTCTATGGCGAGGATTTCTTTGGGGACAGCAATCGTTATTGCGAGTGCGAGACATGCGAACGACGCGGCACTGGTGCCTTTGCCGGCAAACATTCGGCCAATCAGCTGAACGAGGCGATGCTCGGACTGACAAACGGCCTCGGCTTGGGCCTCGGACTCGGACTGGGCGCCGCCGGCAGCGCCAACGGCGGTGGCTATCGTTTGCGCGAAACGGACAATCGCATCAATCGCATCAAGAGTCGCGCCAACAGCACCAACAGCACCTCCAACAGCAACAGCAACGACAGCAGCAGCAATACGGGCAACGTGGCCAACAACAACAGCAGCAGCAACAATAGTATTGCCGCAGCTGCAGTTGCACAAACTGGTGCTGCGGTGCGGCCCAAGAGCAGCAGCCTAGAGCTGAACGCTGTCGCCCTAATGGACAAGAAGCTGCCTAATGTCGTTGTCTCGCCGCTGACCATGAAGGAGCTGCGCCAGAAGGGCATGACCAAGTACGATGCCGAAATGATAATGGCCAATGCGGCATATCATCAGCAGCAGCAGCAGCACCATCATCACCAGCATCATCACCAGCATCAGCACCATCTTCATCATCATCAGCAATATCACACACACCTGCCACACACAGCTGCAGCAGCAGCAGCAGCAGCAGCTGCCGGCGGCAGCAGCAATGCAGAGGCTGCCAGCCAGGCAACGGCCATGCAGAAGCCGCAAGCAGCCGCCGAGCTGAGCAACGGGCGCGCCATCATCAGCACGCTCCGGAAGTCGATGCGCGTGAATAGCACCAGCAGCAGCATATCCACAGCCTCCACGGACGAGCCGCTGGCCAGCTATGCTCCAACAACAGCAGCAGCAGCAGCAGCAACTGTTGCAGCCATAGCCAAGGCACCTGTTGTGCTAATGCCGCGCTATAAGCCAGCTGCTGTTGCCGCCGTGCTGCAGCAGCAGCAACAACAGCAGCAGCAGCGCCAGCAACAGCGTCAGCTGCGGCGCAGCGAGCGCCAGACGCAGCGGCAAAAGGTCAGCATGGACACGACACAGCTGCTGGGCAAAAATCTAACGGACAGCGAGAGCAGCGACACGGATTTGCAGCAGCAGCAACATCTACAGCAGCAGCCGCATAGGACCTATGCGCGCAGGGAGGGGGCAGCTGATGCAGCAGCAGCAGCAACGGGCTCCTCAACGCTGGAGAAGCGCGTGACACGCAACAGCGCCGGACGCGCAGCCGCCGCGGCAGCTGCAGCAGCGGCAGCAACAGCAGCAGCAACAGCAGCAATAACAATAAACAACAACACAGCAACAATAACTGCCCACAACAACAACAGCAGCAACAGCAGCAGCAGCAACATAAAAACAACGATTACAAATTGTAATAATTTAAATATTAGTAATAGCTGTAGAAATTATGTTAGCGCTAGATTTAGTGAACGCAAGCTGAAGCCGAGCGAGCCGGCAACGGCAGCGGCGGCGGCGACGACGGCGACGACGACGGCGGCTTCGTTAGCAAACCTGGCGCTGCCCTCGTCGTCAAACTGCTCGCCAGGCGAGCAGCAGCAACAACAGCAACAACAACAACAACAGCAGCAGCAGCAGCAGCAGCAGGCAACGGCAGCAGCAGCAGCAGCAACAACACGCAGTCGCAGCAGCAGTCCCGCCTATAAAAAGAACCTCATCTCCAGCTTTGAGCAATCCAGCGGCGGCGGCGGCAACGCCGCAGCCAAACGTCAGGCAACAGCAGCAACAGCTGCCGTGGATGTTGCCACAGAGCCGGGCAAGCAGAAGCGCAGCCGACGCGCCGCCGCTTTGGCCGCCGCCCAGCACATACACTGCGACGCAGTTGCCGGCGTCCTGCAGCGCAAGCGACATCAGACGGCAGCAACAGCAGCAGCAGCAACAACAACGGCAACAAGTGGCAGTGGCAGCAGCAGCAGCAGCGCTGTGGAGCCGCTTTTGAAGACGCCCGAGCGACGACTGAAGCTGACGCTGCGCATGAAGCGCTCGCCCATATTGGACGAGGTCTTTGAGCTGGGCACCAGCCTCGGCGAGGATCGGCAGCATGCCCTGCAAAATGGACACGGCGGCGGTCGAGCCAGCCAAGCGGCCAGCGCGCACAGCAGCAACAGCAATAGCAGCGGCGGCGGCGGCGGCATCGTCGGACGAAGCAACAGCAGCAACAGTGCCAGCGGCGGAGGCGGCGGCGGCGGCAACAACAACAACAACAATGCGCTGCGCAATGCCAGCAGCAGCAGCGGCGGCATTGAGTATGAAATTCTGCGCATGGAGGGCATATCAGAGCATGGCAACGATGATGATGATGATGAGGAGGAGGGGGAGGAGGAGGAGGAGGATGAGGATGACGACGACGACGACGACGAGGAAGCCGAAGAGGAAGAGGAGGAGCAGGAGCTGGAAGAAGAAGAAGAGGGCGATGAGCTCGAACAAGAGCAGCAGCAGCAGCAGCCGCAGCAGCAGCAGGAAGCGGCTGGCAGCGATGCCTCCGACTGGCGCTACACTGAAAAAACACGACGCAGTCGGCGCAGCGCCCAAAGCGCCGCCAGCACGCCGCCTCCACCGCCGCCGCCCCAGGTTGCCAGCAGCAGCAGCAGCATCTATGGCACGCCACAGAAGAAGCGACTGCGCCTGATCTTTGGCAACGAGTCGCACACAATAGACATTCCACCAGCAAGCACAACAGCAACTGTTGCAGCTGAGGCGGCAGCAGCAGCAGCTGCACCTGTTGGCAGCGGCATCGATGAGCTCAACAGCAGCGGCGGCGGCAGCGGCGGTGGTGATGAATCCCTTAATGCTTCCTATGCCAGCAGCAGCAGCAGCGGTGCCACCGGCAGCGGCAGCGGCACCAGCATGACCGTGAACACCTCCTCGCTGAACAGCACGCCCACATCCACCGCCTCGTTGGGCAACAACGATCGAAGCGAACTCGAGGCGGCAACAACAACATCCGCTGCTGCTGCTGGTGCTGCTGGTGATGCAACGGCAAGAGCTGCAGTTGCAGCTGCAGATTCACCCACATCGACCACATCCAGCGTCGGCTCGTTCCAATCGGCCTGCACCTCAACAACCAATTTCTTCACGCGCTCCAAGTCTCCCAGCAGCTACCAGCTGAACGGCGGCAGTCGCAGCAACAGCAGCAACTACATGCCCTATTATCAGCAACAGCAGCAGCAGCAACAGCAGCAACAACAGCAGCAACAACAGCAGCAGCAGCAATTGTGCAAATTTAGCAGCAACAGCAGCAGCAAGCGCGCTGCGGAGCAGGCGCAGGCCGTGGTCAGTAGCAGCAGCAGCAGCAGCAGCTGTAGCGTGGGTAACAATAGCAACAGTAATAGCAACAACAGCAATAGCTCGACAATGGGCAGCAGCAACAGCGCAACTGTTGCCGCGAGCAGCGTTTCCAGCACTCACGCCTTTCTGCCTCAGGCTTTGACCATGCCCAAGCACACGTTTGGCACCTGTGCCCTGCTGGCCCCCACAAGCTTTGCCAACCTGCAGCAGCAGCAGCAACAGCAGCAGCAGCAGCAGCTGCCGACATCCAAGCTGGCAGCTGAGCAACAGCAGCTGCCCACATCCTCGTCGCCGCAGCATCACCAACATCAGCAGCAGCAACAACAACAACAACAACAACAACATAGCAACAAATAACCAACGACTGATCTCTATGCGAATTGACTGCGCTGCTGCCATTGCCAACAACAACAACAACTGCAACAGCAACAACAATTAGATAACATTTATTTAAGAATATCGCCGCAGCCGCCTGCCCTTGCCTGCTGCTAGCCCTAAAGCTGCAATCCCTTAAGTAGCGTTAGGTCGTCTCTGTGTGCGTGTGTGTCTGTGTGTGTTCATTCATATGCCTCGGCAGTGTGGCAACTCTGTCTGCATATAAGGGGGGGGGGGGGGGGGTGAGTCCGTTATAAGAGCATAAGAGCTTTGCGTAAATGTGTATGTTTTAGGTAGTCAATACCCAAGAAGAAGAAGAAAAAAACAAAAGCAAAAAACAAAAATCATGATCAGGCAAACAATAGCAATAATAACAATAACAACAACAACAACAAAAGTCTGTTTTAGCAAATCTTTGATTATACATTTCTTGTTTGCTTTTTTTTCCATTTCTCTCTCCCTCTTTTTCTCTTTCTCTCTCTCTCTCTCTCTCTCTTGCCATTGCAGATGGATATTTAAAGCATAAATGTAGCAAAAAAGCGTGTGTTAAACAAATTGTTGCAGTTGGTGGTGGTGGTGGTAATGATATTGATATTGATAATGAGCAACATAATAAGATTAATATAACTAATAATAATAATAATACCGATTACAATAATTCTAATGGTAACAGCAGCAGCAGCAGCAGCAGCAGCAACAACATAGTTAAAAAATTAAGAATAGAATTAAAACGCATACAAATCATGTACAGTTGAAATGATACAAAACGAATTGCTAAAAACGTTACACGGTTAACAAAGCGGCGCGTCAGCAGAGACAACAGTAACAACCAGCGCCAGCGCAGCAGCAGCAGCAGCAACAACAGCAGCGACAACAACAACAAGAACAACAGTTACAACAGCAAGGAGTATGTTGCCATTGATCGGAGCAGAGAGGCACATACGAGGAGCGCAACAAATAGAAAATGTTGCTGCCCTGCTCTCTCGCTCTTTCTTCCAGCTGTGAACGAAGAAGCGAAGTAAAAATGAAAAATATAAATTCAAAACGTATAACAAAAAATATATTCTAAATGCACATTAACAGACAACAAACACACATACACACACACATACACAGCCACATGCACACCGACATACACAGACACAACCACAAACGCAATTAGCAGCGGTTTTAGAAGCCTTACGACTAAAGTTAAATTAAATTAAAAAGAAAACAAAAAAAAACAATATTAAAAAAAAAAGGAATAAAAATAACAAATTATAGATGATATGTGTAAATGAAACGAGAGAAAAACAACAACAACAAATAGCAGCAAACAAATAACAAAAACAATAGCAACAAAGCAATATATATATACATACAAACACATATATATATATATATTATATACATACACATAGAAATTCAATTATACATACTTATATATATATATATGTATATAAATATATATATTTGCAAGCATAGCAAACCAAATTCATTTCACACAAACAAATTAAATGTATATAAAAACGCGAAATTACAAAATAACAAAAAAAAAACAAAATACATATAAAACCTATTTAAATTATAACTAAAAAGAAAAACATATATATTTAAAACATAATACTTAAAACGAAAAATAAAAAATAAAAAAAAAAAAAACGCTGCAAAATGAAACACAACAATTTTGACGATTTGTGTAAATTATAAACAAACAAAACAAACAAAACAACATTATTTTTTGCACACTTTTGTATTTGTGTTCAATTTGTTTTGTTGATGTATTCATCACAATTTCCAAACAACAAACAACAAAATTCACATACATATACATATTCTTATGTATTTCAACAAATATGCAAAAAAAAAAAAAAAAAAAAAAACTTAAAACAAAAATCAAATTTTGTTAACTAGCAAAAGGATTCATTGCAACAACATCGACCTTTTTGTAGTGTTCGTGTTGTTAGTTTTAGTTTATTATTAATAATTTAATTTTACGCATACACACACACACAGACACACATACACACACAGACAACCATACAAACATATATTTGGCCCCACAAATCCGTTTTGCATAATTTTGTTTTTTTTTTTTTTTTTGTTTTACGCCTAAGTTCGATTTTAAAGTTTAGCATATTAATTAGTTCTATACAAGCGATTATAATATATATTTACAAATACAACAATTATATTAAATATATATCTACATATATAACATATATATATATATATACACATATTATCCAGCTAAATGCGCGGCGTGCTCCAATTGCTAACGGCGCGGGCCTCTGCCTCAAAGGCAGCGGCTCACATTGCGGGGGATTCAAAAATGCGCACGGTTTTTCTAGCAATGCACGCCGCCGCCATTGAGCTAGTTTTATTTAATTTAATTTATATACATACCTAATTTTTTTTTTTGAATATACAAAAATACTGATTCATATGTAATTTGTGCTGTGCATTCTTTTATATTGCACGGCAACAGCAGCAACAACATTCAAAATAATAATAATAATAATAATAAACTAAACAAATTAGGTTTGAATTGCACGACTTTTTGGTCAATTTCCGCCGCCTATGCACCCCCCCCCCTCCCCACTCTCTCTCTCTCTCTCTCTCAATGTGTTTCCATAGGGCACATAGAGCAGAAAGTTCGCTCATGCGTTTCTCTCGATAAAGTTTTAGGGTTGGATTTCAGGCATCAGACAATGTGGCGACTTTGCGGCTCGGGTATGACCGAATGCGCGACACTCTGTAACCTCGGTAACCGTTTATATCTATCGCAAGTGAATGTTAATTATCTAATTAAATCATCTGCTTAAAAAAAAAAACAACCAAAACTCAAACCAAATTATTATATGTATATAATAAACGCAGTCAATTATGTGCACAAAACAAATATAGCCCTTTCCACCTCGGGAACAGGGTATCGACTCGCGACCGCAGGCAGTTACATTTTTTTCGCGCGCAAGACGTTAATTTAAATTTAATTATAAAAACGTGATGCACCCTTCGATGAAAAAAAAAAAAAAAAAATACAATAAGCGTAAACTCTTATTTTGTGTAAAACACGCGATTTTATTGATGACGAGCCTCGAGCTTAACATAAACTCGTGTAGTTTAACCTAATCAATCACATAATATAAAGATTAATGTGCTTGTGTGCGGTACGAAGGTGTATGTGCATCGAGTGTCTGGATACACATACTACCCGGCAATATGAATGTTCAGTAAGCTGGTTCTGATTGATGTATTGACGACAGCATCATTGTCCTTTGTGTCTATGTGTGTGTGTGTACTGTTCTTGTTGTCGTTGTGGTGGACATTGTGGTTGGTTGTGCTGCCGTTATTAGTGTCCGTACTTTTGGAAGTCCCATTCGCGGTTGTCCAGCGGGCAAACCTGACGCGTCTTCAGCCAACGTGAAATGCAATGGAAATGAAAGGCATGATTGCAGACGCCCCAGGCCACAGTGCACTCCTCGCTGGTTGCGGATGCCTGATTTGCCTGGCACTCGATGCATAAATCCATTATATGATTCCGGCAAATGGCGCAGTTGTCCACAACGATATCTGCCACAAAGATTGATCAGTTAGGTTAGTTTTATGTATTGTAATTTTTGCATGTCTACTTACCCCACGCCCAGAGTGCCACGGCATTCCACTGTACCAGGAAGAGTGTGAGATAGCAGAAAAGAAAATTATTAACACGCCGACATGACTTGCGAATTCGCCATTTTGTTTTTTTTTTTTATTGTTGCGATATTCTAATTTTAAATTACCTTTTTAACCTCGAAACGCTTCTTTTCGCCTTTGCTGCTGCTGGAGGGAACCTCGAACTCTTCTTCGTCGACTTCCATTTGATGCGTTTTGTTTAAGTTTGTTCGTTTACTTAATAAGATATGACATTGATTTCCTAAAATAAAGTTTCGGTATGACGTATATCGATATTTTTATAATCGTTTACTTTTGTTTCCCAAGCATTCTCACGGCTTAGTCGGTTAATTCTAGTGGATGGGATTGAACAAAGTTAAAATACGATATATATCAGTAAATATCGATGAATTTTTCAAGACATCGGTCTCTAGGCAAAGCTATGGCTGCCACATTTGGAAACAATATTCCAAAACTCAAAACCTTAATTTTAAATCTAAGAAACAATTTTTTTTTTTTAACAATTAACGAACAACAGGGGGATAAATATTAAAAAATAAATACCAATTATGAAATGGATTGTGATTGACTGTTGGTAGTTATGAAGCGTATAATTTATAAGCTGGCATATACTTTTGTATAACGCCCTTTTATTTTTTAAAATAAATTTTTTTAGCAACTCGTTGAGACGGTGTAATGCGTATATCAAGTTAATATATTAGATACAAAAAATAGAAATATGAAGAACAAGTCATCGCTAGCCAAACGTTTAGAGCCCAAATAAGTTTTGACAAATTTTTTGGTTTTTGAATTTCTACAAAATTTGTGATTTTTTTTCTGCTATTTCAGGAGACGACAGTATTTTTGTGGTATTTGAGACAAATTGTTGGTATTTTGTCGATCTACACTTGCAGCAACACTGTTGACACACCATTGAATTTCGTTCGTTTGCACGTGTTTTGTTGTTTTTTTTCTATTGGAATTTGACGTTGGCCCAAAAGAATTTCGCATCGAAAAGCGTTGTGCGACAAACCCATGGAGCACGTCAACTACACCAGCATCAGCCAGCTGGGCGCTGACAGCAGCAGCAGCAGCAGCAGTGCAAATTCCGCGATGATACTTTGCTGCGAATGTGGCGTCGCAATACAACCAAATCCTGCCAATATGTGTGTGACATGTTTGCGGAATCATGTGGACATTACGGAGAATATACCAAAGCAGGCGGTGCTGCATTTTTGTCGCAACTGCGAACGGTATCTGCAGCCGCCCAACGAATGGGTGCAGGCATCCCTTGAGTCTCGTGAACTGCTCGCAGTTTGCCTGAAGAAGTTAAAGGGACTCAAGGAAGTGAAACTGATCGATGCGGGCTTCATCTGGACGGAACAGCACTCGAAACGCATCAAAGTCAAGCTGACCGTGCATGGCGAAATTTCCGGCGGCACTGTGCTCCAACAGGTCTTCATTGTTGAGTTCACCGTACAGAATCAAATGTGCACCGATTGCCATAGGACCGAGGCAAAGGATTTCTGGCGCTGCCTGGTCCAGGTGCGTCAGCGTGCCGAAAACAAAAAGACCTTCTACTATCTGGAGCAGCTGATACTCAAATACAAGGCGCACGAGAATACGCTGGGCATTAAGCCGGAGCATGGCGGTCTAGATTTTTACTATGTTAGCGAGAATCATGCCCGTCGCATGGTTGATTTTCTGCAAACCATGGTCCCGTCGAAGGTGACAACCTCGAAGCGCCTCATCTCGCACGATATACACAGCAACAACTACAATTACAAGTACAATTGGTCTGTGGAAATAGCGCCCATATCGAAAGACAGCGCCGTCTGCATCTCGAAGAAGCTGCGCCAGCAGCTGGGCAACATTTCGCCCGTTTGTCTGGTGAATCGCGTCTCGAGCAACATACATCTGATCGATCCATTGACGGGACAAATAGCCGAAGTCACAACACAGGTATATTTTCGGGCACCCTTCGAGGCCGTCTGTAATCCCAAGCAGCTGATCGAGTATGTGGTCATGGACATTGATGTTATACACGAAAAGGATCGCAAAAGTTATCCCGGCCAGGGCATGTTATCCAATAAGCATGCACTCTGCGATGTTTGGGTGGTGCGCACCTCCGAGCTGGGCATCAACGATAATCCCATACACACACGCTCCCATCTCGGTCATCTGCTGAAGGTGGGCGACTCTGTCATGGGCTACAATACCGGCGAGGCGAACATCAATGATCCCGAATTTGATAAATTGCCAACGGACCAGATACCGGACGTGATACTGGTGCGCAAACATTACGATCGACAGACGCGACTCAGCCAGCGCCTGTGGAAGATCAAGCATCTGGCGGACGAGAAGACCGATGAGCGCAGCAAATACGACTATCATGAGTTTCTCGATGATATCGAGGAGAATCCCGATATACGCGGACATATTAACATTTATCGTGATACCAAAAAGTCGCTGCCCATCGAGGTGGAGACGAGCGCCGCCGGGGATGTGCCCCAGATAACGCTCGCCGAGATGCTCGAGGATATGACGCTCGACTGTGCCGACGATGAGATGGGCGACGGCGAGCAGCCGGAGCCGCTGCCGGAGCCGGAGCCACAGTTATAGAAAGTCTAGTTTTTTTCACGTTTTTATTTCATTTTCATTTATGTATTTACATGTACATAATTTCTATATATTGTGTATATATATATATATTTGCGGAATAAAACCAACGTTACATTTTAAATGGATATCTTCTTCGCCTTGGCACTAAATCGAAGCGCCTCCAGATCAACTTTTCACAAGCAATTTTTTGGCATATACACATATATATATATATAAATAGTTTAATTTGGCTCAAAGCTAAGGGCCGCAATATTGAAATATTGGCCAGAAATAGAAGTAAAAGAAAAATCGATAAAGCCAATTTCTTTGCTTAAGTTTCGTATATATATGTATATATATGTAAATTTGATTTGAATAAGTATTAGATTTGATTTACATTTAGATCGATTCGCTATATATATCATATATCATATGGTGCAAATAGTATTTCGTATTTCGTTTACGGATAAAACATTTAGATTCCAATTAAATTTCACTGTTCAAAACAGCTGCAATATTAATATATATGTACGTGTGATAGGAACAATCGAACGAAATCTAAGGGAGATCGGGCTATTTTATAGGTTTAACCTCTCCCAATACAGATCAGCCGGCTATATCGTGCATATAGCTGCCATATATGATGCCATATTTGATAGTAGCGACAGCTGGCTGTCTGTATGTGTACATAAATTCGATTTGCATATAGATTGGCTCGTTTTTGAGATTATGGTTTAAGATTAGATTGGAAATCGCAACAGCTCGCAGCTGGCGTTGCTTAGCAAGAGCATATTCGTACTTAATTTAAGACAATTTAACTAAAAGAAAAACAACAACAAATATAACAGCTGTGTGGCGGATATTGATGCTAAAGTTTTTGGCTTAGATTCAAATCGGATTGCCAACTAATACAATAAGAAGCTGTGTGTCTAGGACAGGCCCAGCTTGGGCTTCTCCTTGAAAAAGTAGACATCGTCGCAGTCACAGCGCTGTGACGCCTCCATGTCCAGCAGGGCGCGCCTGATCACGGGCAGGATATGCTTGCGCGTCGCCTGAATGTTGTGCTGTCGCAAATAGCAGCCGCCCATAAAGTGCGTATCGACCGCGTGCGGCTGCAGATTGAGCGGCGGCGTTTGGGATTCGACAAGCGCCTTGCGTACACGCTCCACCAGCTGTGTCTGGCCGGTTAGCGAGATGAGCGCCACGTCGCGCACCACCGCTCCGCCCTGGGGCGGCACAAACATGCCCAGTATGACGGCCAGATTGCTGCCGATGGCAAATTGGCGTATCGAATGCTCCGCCTCGCTTAGCTCGATGAAATCGCGCACCAACATGGGCAGACCGGCCATGGGCACCGTATGGTGTTCGGTCTGCAGCTTTTTCATATCCTTGCGCAGCACCTCGGCCAGGGTCAGTTTGCTAATGTCAGCACGCGCGCCGACCAGCTCATCGAAGAGCTTGCGACGACTTCGCTTATTCTCATTGTCATCAAATTGTTTGCCTTCTGGCTCGAGCATCATTAGCTCCAGCTGCTCGACCATGGCCAGATCGCGTGCACAAAAGCGTTTGGCCGACGGCGCAAAATTAATCGTATCCAGCAATATGGTGGCATGCAGCAGCTGGGTGACTCGGCTGGAGCGCGGCTGCTTCTGGGCCAAATATTGTTCGCCGATGAGCGTTGCGCAGGAGCCCAACTCGGGCTCAATGTGGCGCACACAGTGCTCCGGCAGCAGCTGCATTGTCGGACTTTGCTCCATCGGTCGGTGATCGAGTATTTCGACAACATGCTTAACCAAGGCCAAATTGCTGACATGATGATCGACAAGAATGACATTGATATCGCCAGTCAATTGCTGGGGCAGATCGTCGCGAAAGAGCAACATTTGCTCATTGATTTCACACCTGTTGAGCATGTAACCCACCTCCGTTTTGAGCGGATAATCGAGCCGCGGTATATTCAGCACCGGCACATAATCGTGCCCCTGCTCCCGCTGGGCATAGATGAAGGCCAGTGTTAGGGCCGACACCGCCGAGTCCAGATCACACGACTCATTGCCCATTACCAGATGCAGTTTGCGTGCGCTGCCACCGCCCGTCTCCAATTGCCGAGCCGCACTCGTGCCCGAGCTCGGGCTCGGGCTGGCGCTGCCACCAGCCGTTTTCTCGGGTAGATACTGTAATTGACAAGCGTAGGAGTTGAGTGGAGTGGAAATTATATTGGTGCTGCATTTTCTTTACTTACACGGCTGAGCGTGGAACGCGTCTGCATTAGAAAACGCAAAAAACACATTACCCAAGCAAAGCGGAGCGCACTCAATTAAATGGAATTAATAATAAACGGCTGGAATGTGAAAGCTACAGTTGTCACCAACAAATCGAGTACACTCGATAGACACTTGCCACAAATATCGATTCTAATCGGAAGTTAAGCTCAGTGATGTGCGTATCTAATTAAATGTGTACAAATTGTTAATTAATTTTTGCATTAAATCTACGATCGTTTAAACAGTCCAACCGTTATTCGATAATTGTAACAGTTGAGTAAATGAAAAATCGATACCCAAAAGTATCGCTGTGCAAAATGTTACAATAAAGTACTCAATGCTGTGTGCACGTACCAATAAGCAAGCCTGCCTGCAATATTTCTACTAGCTCGATGCTTTTGGAAAAAAAACATATGTATGATAACATAAATATATGCAAAACTAAAAATATATTATTTAAAAAGAAAAAACCGCTTACAGAATCGCGGCTGCCAGCCATACGTATTAATCGTATTTATCGATGATATTAACGTTGCTAATCGATAGCAATTCCTAGCCATCCCTACTTTTCAATTAAACGGCATTTTTGTGCGCGTCACATTAGATATCAAGTTGTTTTCTATTTCGACCATTTCTGACAATCCCGGAGCCAATCACACGAGTATCCAAAGCAATATGGACACGCCGCGTCGCAAACTGCGCAACCTGCACATGGAGAATGTGCAGAACAATAGCACACCTATTCGAATACCACCATCACCGATGCTGAAAACACTTGGACATGGCACCGGTGTCAGTGTCTATCGCCTGGATAGGTCACCAAAGCTGGGACGCATACGTTCACCGTGGGCGGTTAAGCGCATCACACAACGGACCAGGGCCAAAAAGGATCCGGTATACAATGACCGTATCATACACGAAGCAGCCATTTTGCGGTGAGTCCTTCACCGTACGCCGTTTTTCGTTGGCCTGATTGCATATGCATATGTATTTTCCAACTAATGGTGTATACCACCGTATGCACGCACACACACGCATACGCACACGCGGTGTATACACACGTGGGCGAGCCGGTGGCTGAGTGTGTGTGTGTGTGTGTGTGTGCGTGCGTGCGTGTGTGTATGTGCGAATGCATGCGTGTGCATATGCGTGAGGCTGCTGCGTCGCACATGTGTGCGTGCATTTGGTGTACATAATTGTGCTCGTTTTACCCAGTTGGAAATTTGCCGATGAAAGAAATCCTGCTTAGGCATGGTAGCCTTCAGCTCGATGGGATCTTAATTAATATACAAATGTCGATCGTGTCGTGTAGAGGTGTGTCGATGTCCTGGCAATCTCTGTTTGTTTTGTACATGTGGTACAAGACGAGCTCGATGACATGTCACTGAGATCGTCTTGTACGTTGATAATATGATATAAATAAGCATTGACATTAAACTGCCTTCGACGACATTTGTTTTTACACAGATAGATGTCAGATGATTTTGTTATGATACAAAACGAATACTCGCAAGACACAATCGCTGACATGTCACTGAGATCGACATGTATGCTTAGTTTTCAATGTCATTGAGCACCAAATTTCCAACAGGGTTGTTTTATATATATATATATATATATATATATATATATATCATGTGTCGTCTGCTCCACAGCAAGTTGAATCATCCAAACATTGTTGGCTTTCGGGGCGTAATCAAATCATCGGAGGGCGTGGATGCATTGGCATTGGAAATGTGCAGCACCTCGCTGGGCTCCATATTGGAGGAGCGTCACGATGAGGATCTTGGACCGCTGCCCGCCAAACATACATTCAAAATGATTATGGATATTGCCCATGCTCTGGACTTTTTGCACACCGAGGCGCGTCTGCTGCACGGCGATCTGAAGTCCTTCAACGTTCTGGTCAAGGGCGAGTTCGAAATATGCAAGCTCTGCGACTTTGGCGTCTCGCTGCCCCTCGATGAGAACGGCGAGATAAACTTTCACAAAAATCCGCATCTACAATATGTGGGTAAGTGGCACGAATCTAAACGCTTTATCCTCGATGTCTGGCTAGATAACACGATTTTTTTTGTTTTTTGACAGGCACGCAACTGTGGTCGCCGCCAGAGATCATGGACGAGGTGGAGATCATTGACAGCAAAGCTGACATCTTCAGTTTCGGCCTTATCATATACGAGACGCTGGCGCTGGTGCCGCCACACACACTCGAACTGGACGCGGCCTTCAACAGCAGCTCAATCATTGACTTGGACAGCTCACAGGAGCTGCCGCAGCGCAAGCAGCTTAACTACACGGACGAGGGGCACACGAGCAGCGCACACGTGCAACAACCAGACGAGTGCGCTGACAATGCTGCCGTTTACACCGATGACGATGATACCAAAGAGAATGACATTTCCGATTTTTCGCTAACACATGTGGAACAGGCGTACGGTACACGACCGCCTTTGCCGGTTGCCTTTCAGCTGAGCGACGACTACAATTGTGTTGTCGAGCTGTTCTATTTGTGCACGAATGCCCACAGTGAGGATCGGCCAGCGGCACGCACCATTTGGCAATGTTTCGAGAATAATGCCGCCAATGTGGCAGCTGCCAGTGATGCGGCCAGCGACTGAGCCTCTCTGGCTGCCAATTAAATCATAAACGTTAACTATATTAACAACTAGTTTTGTAAGCGTGCATTTGTCTATCTTTCTCTCTCTCTCTCTCTCTCTATCTGACTGTCCATCTATTTGTGTTCCTCCAACCTGCCCCCTCTATCGCCCCCTATCTGTGTGTGTCCCCTCTGCGTATCTAAATGTATAATTCCTCATTCGCTGTAAAAAGAATGCAACTGCAACATTTTCGAAGATGGCCAAAACAAAACGTAATTCTATATTTAAACAAATTCAACTAGCTTTAGGTTCAACACACACACACATCTATATATATATACATATATATAAATATAAATATTATAAATATTCCATGTATTCCATATACGCTATAAGAAATAGCTAAAAAGAAAAAAAAAAAAAAAAGCCAACGTTCGTTCATTTTTGTCCATAATTCGCAAAATAAAAAACTAGAAATTTAACGGTCGCCTTTAATTGTAAACTATGGAGTTCATATTATTAAACATTTCCCGATATTTTCTATATAATTTAATGGCAATTGTTTCAATTTAATGGCAAAACAATAGAAATGTATTTTAATGTTTCAAGCAATGTTTCTTATATCTATTTATATTTCGATTAATCGACATTATCTGAAACTTTTGAGTTTAGTTAGTTTCAGGATCAGGCAGCAATATAGAATAAAAGTCGGGCATTGATAAGTTTTCAGTGCACTAAGAAGTTCACTAAGGATTTATTCAAAATACATACATGCACAATAATATTACTTGCTCTTAGATGTTGTTGTTGTTGTTGTCTTTTAAAGCATGTGTGTGTCTGTGTGTGTGTGTATAGCTATAGTTGTTCGATTTGTATTAGTTAATATCATGTACTCGTATATATATATATATATTGATTTAACAATTCTTAGCTGCTGCCATTTAGAGTATAGGGTATAGGGTATAGGGTATTCGGTGAACGGATTAACACTAACTATATATGATTTTTGTAGGTGTGTGTGTGTGTATATATATCTAAAATATGTCTTTCATATGTGTGTGTGTGTTTTGTTAACTTCAAGTCTGCAGTTTTAATTGTTTATCCGTGTCTTTCGCTCACATTCGACTTCAATAATAGAAACGTGTATAAAAACATCTATAATATATAAATATATATGTATATAGTATAGTCTAGGTGTATCGTATATAGGCGTACAAAACGTTATGCGTTGCTAATTTTTGTTGATCTCTATCTTTTTAAAGGCGCTGTTGGTGTTCTCTTTTTACTTTTCTTCTTCTCATTTCTCTAACTTTACACGTAAAAAATACAAATACCAAAGAAAAAAAAAACCGGACACATGACATGGTAAATAAAAACAAAAAAAAAAACAGTTTAAAAGCAGAATACAATAGAATATTAAATAAAATAAAATATAATATATATTAAGAATATTAAGTAACACTTTTCTTAAGCTCGCACACGTTACAAACATATTTAAAAAATCAAATTAGACGCAAACAAACAAACAAACATTTTTGCTTAAATTTTTAGCTAAGGTTGTAAGTACATACAAATGTTTAATTGTTCTCTCTCTGTGTGTGTGTGTGAGCGTGTGTGTGTGTGTGTGTGAGTGCCGCAAAGTACATAAATGGAATGCAATGTTTTAGTTCGAGGCATGTCTAGAGCGTGGGCGTGGCTGTGGGCGTACTCGTATTGCAATTAAACAATTCAAACTCGCTCTCGCTCTCTCTCTCGCTCTTCTATATGCCTGCTCGCTCTAACTAGTGTAACACATCAAGGAATATATGCGCATATGATAATATAACAAGGACATTAATACGAAAAATGTGTGTGAAAAAAAAGAAAACAATATATGCCTGGCAACTGGAAACGTTCTAAATGTGGAATGTGCTGCAATGTGGACTGCATATATAATCCCAATATTATATATAATTAATGTGTATGCGTGTGTGTGTGTGTCTGTGTGTGTGTGTGTGATCTGCTGCCTTTCGTATTATTGTTTTGCTCTTTTGTTTTTTTGCGCGCGCTCTACAAATGCAAGACACCATCCTTGACATCGCTGGCCAGAATTGTGGACGCATTGGAGGCGGCCTGTTTGTGATGCGTCGACGACGGCGACGAGGACAACTGATGACTGTGTGTGGTTGTTGTGACTGTGACGCCGCCGTTGCCGCTTGTGGGGCTCTCGTCGAGCGTAACGCCAGTGAGGTCAACAATATCATCCTGATCCTCGTGCTCGAGCTCATCGGAGGTGTTCGTATGGTTCGTATGATGCGATCCACTGGACAGCTGGCTGTTGCGCGAAAAGGAGCCGCGATGCGTCGACGTCAGAGTGCGCTGATTGGCCGGCTTGACGGTGATGATCAAATTTGAGCTATTGGCGACCATCATATCGGTGACCTGCAGCAGATATTTGGATTAGTAAATAGTCGAGTTGCTGCAAGCTGCGTTACAGTCTACCTGATCCAGGGTCTTGCCGGCCACCTCGATGCCATTGACCTCGATAACCTCGTCGTTGACGGCCAGGAGGCCCGTGCTCTCGGCCAGACCGCCGGGCACCAGGCGTGATATGAATATGCCCGGCTGTTTCTCCAGGCCGCTGGCTGTTACACGGACCGAGGTGCCGTCGCGTATATAGAAGCCGAGCGGCTTGTCGCTGCCGTGCTTGAGCAGACGGACACGCCGGTGCGTCTCCGGAACGATGTCCACATCGATGATGGCCGACACTTGACGGAAATCGTGCGGTATGGATATCGATGGGGCTTTGGTCTTAACCGGCGTATGGCCAAGTATGCTGCCAATTAGATTGCGCGGCTTCATCGTGCCAAAGCCGGAATACTCGTTCAGATCGTCTACAATATCAAATCATACAAAATCTCTGTCATCTCTGTCTCTCTCTAGATAATCGATATATATATTTACGATGCCCACCTTTGCGCTGGACAATAACGCGCAGCAGCGGCCGCGCCGTTTTGAGTGCACGCCCAAAGTTGTCATCGTTGTTGATGGGCAACAGGTCGTTGTCGCGCGGATCAATGTAGAGTATTAGAAACTGTATGTTGGCCAGCTTGTGCAGCTGCTCGATGAGGGTGGCGAACTTATCGAAGCTCTGCTCGGGCTCGTGACGTTTAAAGCTCCAGCGTCGGAATTCGGCATCGAACTATAACAAGGCAACGGTTAATTTCAATGAACTTGACGAAATTCTCATACATATGGCAACGCCGCCAACTGTTGCTGCACACAAACAACATTCAACAGCAGCAGCAGCAGCAGCAGCAGCAGCAACAACAACACGAACACCAACAGCAATGTGTACAATTTCGGGCAGGCATGAATCAGCGGTGCCGCAGCCGTAGCCACTGCCTCATATTGTCCACATCGCAGCAAATTCATCCCGATATGCTGATGCATTTTGAACCCTGCTTGTTTGGTTATTGGCTCACCTTTGATTTCACTTCAATTAGATTCGTTTCAGCGTTCGCTGCCGTCGCCGCAGTTGTGTTTATTTTATTTTTCGACATATTTTTTTTGCCCACTTCCCAATTCCACTTCCAATTGCACACACAAATTCACAGCAACACCAACGCACAACTGATGCAGTGCGTGTTGTTCATTCAAGTGCCGTCGCGGCGCCAACCACCAGCAGTAGCCAAACGTTGAGTGGTTAAGGAAATTTAAATAAAATTGTATAATAAATTATAATTCGAAAAAATCTAAACTAAAACTAAATTATGCGTTGGCGTTTGTGTAAAAAAACATCGAGACATCGCGATTTTTCTTGGAGCGATCGGCACCACAGTTGTTGCATTCATGCATATCGATATATTTGAAATGGTCAAGTATAATCGTTCATAGATCTAAAAATAATAGCTCTAGGCACATATAAATCCTACAAAGATATTATTGCAAGTGAATTGCTTACATTTGTGCATCAAGTAAATCTAATAAATACAGCAAAGTTGTTTGAATTAGTACGCAACGTATGATTTATCGATATTTTTTGGCCTTTTTTAAATACTAACTAACCACCGCCCCTAGTTTGTTCTATACATATGGCAACGCCAATTGCACAATTGCATTAAATATAACATAAACAAGAGCTAATAAAATATATGTTTTGTCATCAAAACGTGTACATTTTGAAAACATATATTTTGAATATAACTTCAGTTTATTTAGTTACAATGAATTCATACGGAATACTTTAGGAACTGCTGCGGAACTGTCCAATTCGATAAACACGAGCGGGACAACACTAGTGCATGCGCATGAAAGGAGTATAGATAGCTGCTTGATGGTACGGACCGAGTACACTTTCGCATACACTGCACATTATCAAAGAAGGAAATTAATAATAATTTAGACAACATCACAAATAATTATCAGAGTTAATTTTGCCGATTATCAAGCAAATATACATTGTCAGTGTCGAACACTGACTTTTGACACGACCAATTGACGGTGAGAGACAAGCGTGGGCACAGCATAGAGAAAAGTCAACATAGCCGACACTGTAGCGTATACCATACGACGAGGGTTTCTGTAAATGGAGGCTGTTTTGTGTTTTGTTGTTGAGCGTGAAGTGTGCAATTGAGTTGAAATTGTGTGTGCTTCTTTTTTTTTTTTGTTTTTTAAATGTTTCGAGAAGCCAATAACCAAATAGGAATACAAATCGATTTCAGTTTTAAGCATATACAAACAACTAACAAGCATACAGTACGAGGCAGCCGATATAAAACGGGCGCAAATTGGAAAAACAGCAACGAAGACGAAAACGAAAACAGAGCAAAACGTTTTCTCTCTCTTTCCACCATACCTGCCCCCCACCCCCTCCCTTACTCCAACAGCACGAGACGCTGACGCGACGCCAGTGAAAATACAGTTAGTAGCGCTAAGCTTTTAAAATACGGTTCTCGCGGCGCCAACGAGCAGAGCAGAGCTTCAGGACAGTTGAGAGCAGTCATTAAGGAAACCTTGAGAGGCAGTCATACATATACATATAGATATCGACACACACACACACGCACAGCTACAAATACACATACATACATACACCCACCCACACATATACACACACACACACACGCAGAGGCAGAGGCACGCACAAGCGGAGCAGCAGAGGCGCAGCCATGAGTTCGGTAATGTAAACAAATAAAGCGTAACGTGAATTAAATCCTAAGAAACGAATTTTTGTCACAAAAATAGCAATATTCAAATGTGGAGAACCTGTCGCCGCAGACCATACGGCAGGTGATGCGGGAGCTGCAGGATATGGAGACGACACCGCCGGAGGGCATCAAGGTGTTGATCAACGAGAGCGACGTTACGGATATTCAGGCGTTTATCGATGGCCCCGCCGGCACACCGTATGCGGTTGGTGTCTTTCGCGTCAAATTGACGCTGAGCAAAGATTTTCCACAGACGCCGCCAAAGGCATATTTCCTAACCAAAATTTTCCATCCAAATGTTGCCTCGAATGGCGAGATATGCGTGAATACACTGAAAAAGGATTGGAAACCAGATTTGGGCATTAAGCATATATTGTTAACAATCAAATGCCTGCTAATTGTGCCCAATCCGGAATCGGCACTCAACGAGGAGGCCGGCAAAATGCTACTCGAGCGCTACGATGATTACTCGCAGCGGGCGCGCATGATGACCGAGATCCATGCACAGGTATGTACCTGTCAATCAGATTCCCACCTGTTCAATTCGTGTTTATCTTTTTACCTTGGTTGCCTTTTTTAGCCGGCCAAGTGCGGCGCTGGCGCCAGCGATGCCAAAGACGATGACGGACCCTCAACAAAGAAGCACGCCGGCCTCGACAAGAAGCTGCAGGACAAGAAGAAGGAGAAGCTGCTCAAGGAGAAAAAGCGCATGCTCAAGAGATTATGAGACGCATAAATATCGAGCAGCAGCAGCAGCAGCAGCAGGCAGGCAAACTTATGTAGCAGCAGCCATAGAATGGAGGAGCAAATATGTAGTTAAAGGATTCAGGCTAGAAAACAACAACAACAACAACAGCAACAGATTATATATATATATATGTATGTGTGTGTCTATACAGCCAGCAGCAGGCATAAATCTACAGTGGAGCCGCAATAAAGCGAACAACATCCGCAAAACAACTTGGCACAACAACAACAACAACAACAACAAATACCAACTCCAAAGAAAAGTGCATCCAGTTACATAACAAAAACTAAAAGGAAAACAAAAATATTATAAATATAATATATATATATATATAGATAAAAAAAAACAAAAAAAAAAACAATTTGGTCAGAACAAACTGAGCCGATATTTAGTTTGTAGAGCAAAAAGAACGAAAAAAGGAAAACTAAGTAAAAATTCATATGTCCTAATTAATTAAGTGCGATCCTTGCGCGCATATACATATACATATATATATATATATACATATATTTTTTAAAATGCTTTTCGCGCTAACTTTAGCATAATTTATGTCTATGTAATTAGTTTAAAGATCTGTCCCACACACACACACGCACACACACGACACACATACGCCTACTTTTAGCAGCTGCCCGCACACACACACACACACATGCACACGCACATGCACATGCACACTAAGCGAAAAACATCACCATTATTTACCGTTATAGTTGATCAGTTTTTTTTTTTTTTATATTGCATTACCACATATAACATTTAAATCATTAAATTTGAATTGGAATTGTTTCATTTTGAAAAGCGAAAGAAAGTAAGCAACAAATTGTACTTAGCGTAAGTCATAATAAAAAAACAGCGCACACACACACACACACACACACACACACACCCTTACAAAATGACTAGCAGAAATGCATAAAAATAATACATTATATTCGCAATGAGTTTGTAGCGACGCAAAATTATGGCAAAACAAAAAAAATGTCAACGAAATGCGCCCAAAATGTGTTTATAAATAGACTCACGCAAATGTTTTTCTTTTTTTCCACGCATTTTCCGAAACGTTTTCGATTCGATTGAACTGTTCGCTTAACTGTTTATGGACACGTTTTTGGGGCGCTTCGCACAAACGCCGTTACATTGCTCTGTTTTTAACGTTTTTTAGGTTATGTACTTACAAAAAGAAAAAGAAGCAGTAAATTCCAAAATAATATATATATATATATAAAAACGACAAAATTATGTGCCCTTCTGATGATAATACCACAAAAAGCAAACACTTCGTATTGCTTAGCAGCTAATTCGAAAAACGAAAAACTTAAAAACAGTAAAAACAATCCTCAATTCAATTAACTCTCAGTAGTTCAAAATCCATAAATTAAGTAAAAACACACAAAAAAAAAAAACAACCAAAAAAAAGAATTGAAACCTTTCGTTGAATTTGTTCGTCACACAACAAAAAGTGAATAAAATTTTGGAACACACTAAAAATACGTGAAGAAGAATTTATGATCAATAAGAATCGACATTTGTCACGTTTATATGTTTACAGTGAAGGCACTACGAACGAATAGTTTGCCCAACCTTTTTTTTTTTTGCTTTCTTACGTAAATTATTTTTTATGTTTTTTTTTTTAATCGTTTTTCATAATATTTTTCAAGTATACTATCTATCTAATCAGAAAATGTGCCTGAAAGCACGTCTTTCTGCTCAAGCGAGTTTTCACTGTACACAAATGTATATATGTACGTACATATGTTTTTGCCTAGGCAGTGCACGTAGCGCGTGCCAAAACGAAGGCATTTCCGAGTTCCAATTGTTTTCAAGCCGGAAGAGTATTTTAAATAGTCGATTCTTCGAACCGCCAATGAGACATGGCAGCGCAGGTGTACGAGTGTGTGTGTGCGTGTGGGTGTCTCTCTCTCTCTCGCAACCTCTCTCCGTCGCTCGTGTCTATATTTTGTGCTCTCACTGGCAACGCCAACGCTTACGCCAACGCCGGGCCAACATTCCAAGCGGCTAACCTTCAGCCCAGCTCCAAAATTGTCGCAGCTCGACAGCAGCAGCAGAATGCTTTCGCTCTCTCGCTCTCTCCCTCTCTGCGATGCTCGCCTTGTATAAGAAAAACCTGATGAGGCGCAGCAACGACAATCAATGGCTGGCCAGTGTTGGACATTGCATGACAATAGCGCACGCTCTCACGCTCTCTCGCTCTCCACGGAGAGCGCCAGTTATGTGGCTTATGTATATGAATGGCCGTGCCCGTGTGCTGCGCTTCTGACAGAGCAGATGGACCGCAAAAGGTAAGCTTGTTGTGAATGTGATTTGCAGGGCGTGCTCGCTCAGAGGGGAAGCAACTCTGTGTGCTCGATCGACTGCGAGCGGGGAGCGGGCGCAGGCGCGCGCTCGATCGCCAATTCCAATTTGGCTGTGCGCGACAGCCAACAACAGCAGCCAGCAGCCAGCAGCTAGCAGCTAGCAGCTAGCGAGCAGCAGGTAGATCAGTTGTGAATCTGGCACGGACGGACGACAACAAACCATTTAGCTTGGCTCGGAGCACTCGCAACGCGAAAAGCGCGACGGCCAAAAACAAAAACGAAAAACAACAACAACAACAAAAACGTTTTGCGCGCCTCCTCCAAACCGTTCGCAGCGGGTACGTGCGTGTATGTGTATTGGTATTTTTTTGTGTCTGCGTGTGTGTGTGTGTGTGTGTGTGTCGCCATGTCGCGTTGCCCAGTTGCAACGTTTGTTGTTGTTTTGTGGTTGCGCGCGGCAGATAAACAAAAACAACGAAGAAAACACCAAAACACGCCCTGCGAATATAGCCATGTGTGTGTGTGTGTGTGTGTGCGTGCGTAATTTGCATTGCTTATCGAACAGTTGATCGATGTCCGATAAATTGCAAATCAACACAACAACAACAACAAAAACTGAACGAATTATAGGCTGGCCCATTAGAAAAGGGTACGACAGGAGGTCGCGTGCCGGGCCCCTTTCCAACGGCGCGTGGAATGCGACAGTTATTTGCGCGCTCAACCGTTTTATTTGGCATTTTCGCAACATCTGTTTGCCCAGTTGAGCGTTTGGGCCAATTGGCTAAGCGCGTCTAAGCCAAAAAAGAAAAACAAAGAGAAACACGCTTCAGCTGGCTTCTTATATTCTTCTTATATTCTGACCAGTGTGACCCTGCCAGGCTGCAGTTCCAGCCAGGGCCGCGTTCCTGCAGCTGCGAATCGAACTTTAATTGCGCATATTTATATTAACAAAGATCAATTCATATATGTACATATATACATATTTTTGTAGAACGCGTACTTGACGTTGACATTTCGTTGCGCTCGTCGCACTTATTTGCATAGATGTCAGACAGACTGTCCGTCAATTTCCATATGCATATGTTAATATACTATTTCCATGTGTAAGCGTTTCTTTTATGCTTTTTACCGCTCACACGCACACACACACACACACACACACACAATATATATATATATATATAGCGTGTGGGACGTTTCAAACTAAGTAAAGTCGCGCAAATAACTCGTTCATTTCGTCATTTCCAGCAGTTGTCAATAAATATCTGTTATATTTCTGCACACATACATGCAGACAACGCGCGCGCGCACACACACACACACGCACACACACATATGTAAATCCATATTAAACATCGCCTTGAAAATTTCTGTGTGTCGCATCGTAAAAATCCTCCAATTTGTGTTTTTTTTTTTACATATGTACATATTTTTTTTTACTTTTTTTTTTCCCAATTCGAGAACGCTTCAGTTTTGTATTTTTGCGTGGTTGTCGCGGGGTGGGCGGTCAGTTTTGTTTGAGCCAAATACGTAAAACTCATTTTGACCAAAAGCGTTTCATTTTTTTTTGTTTTTTCAAAATATTTGCGCCGACTTTAAGAGTGGGCGCCAAAAGCAGCCAAAAGCAATTACAGCAGAAGAATGTGAATGCCATTAGGGGAATTACCGCGTTAAGAGCTTGCAGCTTAAAGCTAAATAACAGGATCGTGTTCTAACCTCACACTTAAAAAAAAGAAATACAAACAGTTATTTTGCCTAACAGGCAGACGCGTGCGTCGACTTAGCGAAGAAATCAACCATCAAGAGCAAAGCTTTTGGCGCGCGCCGCCTAAAAGTCGGCAACACATTGTAAAGCATATGCAAATACAGTGAAAGCTCCGCCGAGCGAACCTTCCTTTTGTGCAACAAGGGAAAACCTTAATTTGGCATTTTCACATATTTTCGCGCAATCTTAACGATTGTTAAATTTGAATATTAAAAATAACTTTTTGGTTAACATTTCATGTTGCCATATAATATATAATATATTTCATATATATAAACAGTTTTTGTAAAAAAAAAATAATAAGTTATTGCATAATAAGAACGAAAATTTTGTAAATAGATCAAAGGAGCGTCCGAAAAATATGAAAAAAGATTTGAGCTAAACAGACAGCTGTGCGTCAAGAGAGAGCTTTCACTGTGAAGTAATTCGGCAAACACTCACACACACACACACACACACGCATACAGACGCACGCAGAGCGCAAAGCGTGGGCGTTGGAGGCCGCTGGCAGGCGCCATGGCACTGAGCAAGACGAGCAAAACGAAAGCTGGCGCCAAAGAGGAGCAGAACGAACTGGTAAGTGAGGCAAAATGCAAAAACAGTAACAAAGCGCGCGCGCACACACACACACACACACACACAGGAGCATACTCTCACGTGTGTGTGTGCGCGCGTGAGGTGGTGGTGGCATTAGGCGCAGAGCTTTGGCAAAACAATGGAACGAGCGCGCGCGCGCGCGCCCGCGTCAGCGCACTTGGCTCAACGCGACTCAATGCGACTCAACGAGCGCGCGCAACTCAACTCAGTTCAGGTGTAACAAACTAACGGTGCAGCTCGTGCAGCGCCGCAGTCGTCGACGCGCCATCGTATCGAACACGCCGCGCATATTGCATTTGTTTTTTTTTTTTCTATTTTGTTTTTTTTTTTTTGGTTTGTTTATATTTATATTGTATTGTTGTTGTTGTTGTTGTCGTGCGACTTTGACTCGTTGTTGCTGCTGTTGTGCATTTTGCATGCGGAGAGCGGCAATTAAAAGTTGGTTAAATATTAAATGAACTATGTAGTACATGCATAGTAAAATCTAAATATATATATGCTAATGCTGTTTGTTTGTGTGTGTGCCTGTGACAGTTTTAGTTTTTAATTACATACATTACATTGTCGTGG